GACTTTTCTTGTAACCAAGAAACCATAGTAGATAAATTCATGCACGATCTGTCGGGGAATATTTCTTTGAATTCCACTAACCGTGTCTCTTACGATAGACAAGGCATTGTGTTTGGAAATTGTCTCTAGGCCTCCCCGCCTAGACTAAATAAGAAACGTTCCTTACATAGATTATTGTCTTTCTTTTGTACAAGTCCCACTATCAAATCAGAAATGACATGGCTTCAGGGAAATCTTATTATCGGAATAGGCCATAATGGCTCATGTGACGTAACTCTTCTTACAGGGAAGGTGGTGTTATTAATGTTTCATGTCTTGTTATGTGTAAACTTCCGTCACAAATAACAGCCTTAGATAATTTAACAGCCTTACATCAACTATTCCACTGAGCACGCAATAACCTTTGATTAGACAATTGACTGTTATTAATATGGAAGGAGAGTAAACGAAATAATAATAATAATAATAGAAGATATATTGCTGTCTACAAATATAAAACTGATTGATCATCAAGAGAAATTCCAGACTCTTTATTAGTTCAAATATAACAACTAGAAAGCAACAAAGACAACATAGAAATTTACAGTCTTACTTTTCTGGGATAATAAAGACCGGCCTGTGCCTTGCTGTGTGGCAAATTTTGCAGGGAGAGCGGCGTTCCAGCAAATTCTTTATCGAATTCCAACAGTTAATTTATGGGCATAATAATATGTATAAGAGACCGCGGTTTTTCCTCCCCCCCCCCCCCCCCTGCAATCACTGCCAATGGGAAACACCGGGGTCGAATCTGGGACTTCCCCTGGTTAATGAGCCCATACCTTACTCACTGAGAGCGGGGCGTGTGACGAATGGTTAACGCGAGTGCGTTGCATCGTGAGGTCTGCCATTGAGTCGAGTAACGTGGTTTCGATTTCCCCGTTTGTACGTGACAAGGAGTAGGGTTGCCTGTCCAACCTCATGGGTTTTCTCTGGGCCCTCCGGTTTCCTCCCACTCCTAAAGGCGCCGTAGAATTATTGAAATAAAATTGAACATAATTTTAATCACGAAATGTCCTAGTTTGTTCGTGTGAACCTACCCCCACCCTCCCTCTCTCTCTCTCTCTCTCTCTCTCTCTCTCTCACTGGGCCACCGTACCTCACAAGAAAACCTGGCAGCCAAATCCAGTTCTTCTAAATTCGGTAACTTATTTCCCGTCTCTACTTACTAATTAAACATTATAATAAAAGAAGACATGACTCAAAAGTTACATAATTAATTCATCAGATAAAAACGGGATATATCAGGAGGGATGGGGGTGTTCCGGCAGACTTTGAACTCACATTTTGCCGCTAATTCAGAGTGAATCCGAAAAACTATAGTCCATTTCTCACTTAAAGCAGAAAACTGCATTGATTGTAACAAATATAGCTTTTATTAAATAACATTAATTAATTTCCAGACAAAAATGCCTTAGATATTATAAAATAAATAAAATAATTTACATTTTATAACATTCTAAGACCCAACTAAAAGGATATTATTTGTTCATACTGATTACACTTAAAGTCCCATTTAATAACTGTGTTTTCAAACGGTCAATTCATGAATCAAGCTGTCGATATTTCTTGATATCGAGGCCATTTGGTACCACCGAATAGTAAATGGGAGACGGTAATTTCGACAAATTATTAAGCTTTATTAATAAGGATCAAGCTCATTAACGCCGAACAGTACTCGATCACTATATCTGAGTGACAAGTTTTAAACATTACAATTACGAAGATCATTCATTTTCTCTCTAGCTATAAATAACTACAATAAGAGTGATAAAGGGAAATGTTGGTGTCAGCCAGTATAACATATATGTGGTATACTTGGCGGTTTAAACACATTCCAAATACAATCTTAACACAGCGATCTATTTTAATACTATTTGATAATTTATGCGAAATTGCATTAGACGAATATAAATACACCAGAGGATATGATTTATAATTTGATAAACGTCATATATTTTATTTGTATTCTCCATTGTCAGTATATTAGCTGTGGTATAAGTTTGTTTAAAACGCAAATTAAATTGTTATGAAATATTCTGAGAATAACAGGAAAAGAGGTCTAAGGCTAAGGATAAATTATATGTCTAAAACACGTGAAAGGAAAGTTACCACTCCATATTTGGCATGACCATTCACGTGATTAATTACATCATAATTAGCCAATAGAATAATTAATGGCTGTGAATCTAAGAGTATATGATTAATAGAATGTGCGCTCTAGAGTAGACACCAGGTAGATTTGAGAGAGCAAACATCGTGTAGAAATTCGTTAGGAAGGTCCGTTGAAGTTCAAGGGAAACCATCTGGATCGTGAGATAGGGGGAATGACTTTATTATAATCTATGCTTGTAATTATGTAACCAGCTTGATATAAAACTGTAGAAGCCGTACTTTTGTTCCTGTCATCTCGTTTGTTAATCATACGTTATTTTGGGATTGATAACGAGGGATGTCAGAATTAGAATGACATTTAAAAAAACACAACGTGAGTCATAAGAAGTGCATGACAAACACAACCAGAAACAATACTAGCCGATCAAGGGCTGTTCTTAAATATGTAGTAAGAAACGATACGTGGGACATACGCCGGATGTGGCGACCTGATTGCCAAATGCCCGCTTTCCACGTCTGATAGACGACCCATGGTGCTACACTATGATACGGTTGACCTGGAACTGACACTAAAAAGGAAAAACGCGAGGCATCCTTACTGTGGAAGTAGAGTGCGATAACAGATAAAAGGTGATTTCAGCCCACTGATGCCAACATTGTCCTTCAACGTCTTCGTTAACGTATATTTGTTTTATTCCGGTTAAAATCGGAAGTTTGAACAATGGTGTGGTTTGTGAAAAATATAAGATGCTACTACAACACATCCACTCTAAAGCTTGTTTCTGCCTATTATAGTCGCTTTCTTCCGTTATCACCCTAATCATCATCTCAAGGACGTTCATAAAATGATGCATATAGATTTTATTTTCTATTCATGTCGATATCTTGACTCGTTTTGTGTCCAATCAACATTGTAAATAATAGCCATGTTTCTTAAATCGAATGGAACTTTGAAATTAAAGATATGATGATGCATTGTGGGGCATTAGTTGCCATTCATTCCCAACTAACTGTCTGTTTTAACGATATTTCATGCGATTCAAATGCAATGAACATATCGATCGGAACATTGAAAAGCCAGAAGAAGGGCAAAATTACAGTCAGTGTGTTTTGTAAAAGTTGATTTGATAGCCAAATACACCGAGATACGGGGAGAGAATCTACATTGAATTGAGGTAAAATCGATGAATTAGAGAAACGTTAACTACACTAGAATAATGATGATAAGTCATGTAAGACCAAACTTGTCACGGTACATTTCTAATTACGTTCAAGGTTATAGATGTATATCTGATAATAGACCATTAACAAGTTATACGATATAGAGGAGGTTTCTGTATCAAGGATTAGAGTAATTCCTGAAGTTCATCATTTGACATTGTAGATGAGTAATTATACAAGGAGGAGGAGGGGGGCTGTATGACAAATGAAATGAAATGAAATGGAGTTTAATGTCATACTGCTGTACTCCGAACTGGGCTAATGAAGACGGGCATACGCCATACACGTACGTAACTAACATACGAAAATTAAATGGTAGCTGGCTTTTTTTTCGCACGTATACAGTGAATGGCCATTTTGCTCAGTAATCCCAGCCAGAATTTGGCTATTTTTTTTAAAATTGCGTTAAAGTTTTAAATTTTTGTTTAGGACTGAAATAAATTAACTTTTAGTCAATACCCACGCTAAAAACATTAACATAATTGATTGTGTATATCTGAAATAGACACGACCGAAGCACAAAATAGTGCCAATATGCCGACGTCAAATCTAGAGTTGTAGATGATGTTATTTTTGTGAAAAATCATTGGAAGAAGCGATAAGACGTTCTGTACGGATTATACAGTCCTAAAGGCTGCAAGAGGGCTATTGTTTACAATGTAACATTGTGTCTTGTAATGTTGATAATGATCAATATGATGGTGTTTACATTTGTTTGTTGATGTGACCTCATGACCTGTGACGTTTAGATAACGTCATGTGGATATCATGGCTATTCACTGTGTCAGAGTCACTTCTCTGCAGGTAGATTGACGCCATACAGTGTGCTATGAGGGAAATTTTGCCCGTACAGCAGCACTACGGTCTACTCTTATATCGAATTCAAACTGTCAAGGTTCTTTTACATGCACGCCAATATGGAAACGGGACCTCGGTTTTTCGTCCCATCTGAACGACTAGACAGCTGTCCTTGCCATGCTCTCCTTCTTGCACCATTGACAATGCGAAACACGTCGGAAATTATTGTTTTGGAAAACACATATAATTTGGATGCAATCTATAATCATAGGTTGTGTAATTTAATGTAGAATCTCGAAACAGTATTATCTTTAATTCACTATTAATATATATTATATACGATTAATATAAATTACACAGACGTTCTATGTCACTGTTAAAATATAAAGGCATTACACAGCCCTGGATATATGATATTTTGGAACAGATTATCCAATCTTTCAAGTCACTATAAAGGCACTACATGTCTTCAAGTCTGTTATCTCCTAGAATAAATTCCGGTTTCCTCCCACTGCTAAAGACCCCTACGCGCAAGCGAATTATGTAAATAAAATTAAACCATATGTTAGTCCCGAAATGACCTAGTTTGTGTCGAGTGGACGTTAAACCCCATTTCTCTCTCTCTCCCTAGAATAAATTGATATAGATTATCCAGACTTTCTTGTCACTATAAAGACACTGGTATCCAGGTACAAATTTAGATATAATATTAAGACAATACCTGTCATTTCTTGTGGCTTATTTTTTCCTGACACTTTATAATAGTGTACAACAAGAACTCCCTCCAGATTTCACCCATTCTCACGATTTTATTTTTTTCTTTCTTTCAGAGGAACCGTTAAATATCGGTATAGAGGTAATACTGGCCAGTTTTGATAGTATATCTGAGGTTAACATGGTGAGTATACGATATATTATAATAATCTAAACATCATGGTTGTTCTTTATAACAATCGTTGTCTCCACATTAAGCATTGCAAAAAAAAAGAGAGAGAGAGAGATAGAGAGAGAGGGGGTAAACGTCCACTCGACACAAACTAAATCATTTCGGGACTAACATATGGTTCAATTTTATTTGCCATAATTTGCTTATGCTTAGGGATCTGTAGCAGTAGGGGGACACTGGAGGAACCTACGAGGCTTGACACGCGACCCTACTCTTTGTCACATACAAGCGGGTAATCCAAACCATGCCACTTTATTCAATGACAGACCCTCTGATCAGACGGTTAAACCATACGGCCACCAAACACCTCTTGTGTCAAGAAAGAATCTTGAATATTTAAAGGGCATGAGCACAGCTTGGCAAATTATTTTTGAAGTATCTACTAATGGATGAATGGTAAAGAAAGTGAACGGGGTGATGGGTGCAATGTTTCAGGTAAGAGGGTTGGGTTTGTCATTATTACTTGTGCCATTATAACCCCAATTCCTACTCGACGTATCACCATGTGCTGATAATCATGGTGGGCGGGCAGGGGGGGGGGGGAGTTATTACTTATGTGTGTCTTGTAATTATGCGTGTTGTGTATGTTGTCCATGGGTTTGTCGTCTGGGGATTTGTGTGTGGTAAAGTGTGGTTCTCTTGCACATAGTAATAAAATATTGCAAAATCCGTGGGATCATATTGTATTACAGATGCACTTTCTTTATTTTATTCCCCTTTTCGGTGGTGCAGGACAGAGGGCGTATGTCCGTCTTCATTAGCCCAGTCGGTGCAGAACAGCAGGACGTTAAACCCATGTCATTTCATTTCTTAATTTCAATGTTTAGTAAGTTTATAGTTTGATGAAAGCGGTTACAATCATGCAGTTTTCAGTGAGATTCAGGTTATTTATTATAATTTGTACACAGGATCCCTATTTTTTTTCCATCACGACGACTAGACACTCTTCCTTATCAGGACCTCCATCCAGCACCACTGACATGGGGAAGCCACACCGGAAAATCCCGAGCGAATCTGAGATCCCTCGGTTAGTGAGCCAGCGTCTTACCCACCGCGAAATATAAATTATGTGACCTGATATACCACGTCTCATGATGGAACCGTGTGGGGTTTTAATCTGAAAAACTCACAAACATGATGCGCCATAATTATGAAAGATTGTCTTTATAGATACAATGCTGCTTCAATGTTCGTCCAATTATTGGCAGTTCCTAGATAAATAATCTAGTCTACACTTTCACGTGATCAGAAACTATTCAGTATTTGATTTGACATTGTATTATGACGCACACGGATTAACAAAGATTAACAACGAGTAAAGGATTTCCAGATTAAATGTCAATAATTAGACATGGGCATGGAATTTCTGAAGACTATTGAATAAAACGGAATTTAACGCATATTTGTCTTTTATTTGGAACATTTTGTGCCTAGCATAATTGGGATAATTGTCTGTCTACTATTCTTCGAATTCCAACTGCCAATTGATCGTACACGTGCATGTATGCTAATGCTTATAGGATGCGTATATATGTCTCCTCGTACTGGCTATGCCCATATAGGCTAATATACCCCAGAGGCCAAGTAGAAATCAAAGTTGAAACATGCCGATGATTATTCCCCAGTCCAGATTCGTCGCGACATTCTAATGGCGAATCCACCTTCTTCAAAATCTTGGTTAAATGTCACTCCAGATTAATAACCCTGGATTTTGAAATATCTATAAAGTAACAGTGTATTTGTGGGTGATTCTGAGACACGGAAGCTGGAAACATTACTCAGTAATTAGAAAAATATGATTCGTTTAAAGCTAACATGGTTTTGTAATCACCATGGATGAAAGTCGAAAGACCAGTGGAACGATTTTATCAAGTCAAGGATCGGTAAGGAAAGGATAACATCAGTAGTTATCGACTTATGAAATAACATAGCAAACATTCGCTGTACGCTGGAGGGAACCTAAGTTGTGACGTATACCGTGTATGAGGCATGATATGCATATTGTTTTATAAGGATCCGAGTTCTCCCAGCTAACAATTGTTTTGCCGTAGTATATAAAATTCGAATTGACTTGCGTGATGTGTGTTTGGTTCGAATTGACATTTTGGGTTCGAATTGACTTGCGTGAGGTTTGTTGGGTTCGAATTGACTCGCGTGATGTTTGTAGAGGTCTAATTGACTTACGTGACGTTTGTTAGGTTCACATTTCAATCTGAGTGAATTCGTTATGACAAGCTTAAACATCCGGGGCGGGTCTGGCATGACATGTTATTGTGTTCTCATCAAGTCTATTCCCAAATCTCTTCTTTCAAACATTTCTGCGCATGTATGCTGTGGTTGACAACCGTAGGTGTGTGTTTAACTGACTATATTATAGACAGTAACATGAACATTTGGATGGTAAAGTCTTTTAGTGTAGATTGGTTTTCTTGGTTCTTCTCCGCCAGAATAATCTACAGTTGTATAAACGTGCGTCACCGAACTAAATCAGCTACTGGATTCGTCCAGTAAATCGTTCTTACGCTGCGTTTAACTTCTTGTTGGTATACTTCACATAATTTATATACCTGTAGGACAAGTTCATTATGTGTCGACTTTCAATTAACAATAACAAATATCACTTTCAAATGTCGATACAACTTCCTATCTGAATTCTGATTCCCAAATCTATCTCTCTCTCTCTCTCTCTCTCTCTCTCTCTCTGCATGTGGTATAACACTTCCTGTACTTTTACACTTCCAAGCTTGTATAAATTGATGTCGTGGGCGATGACAGCGAGAATCGAGAGACACAGAATTATTTCCAACTTCACATAACGTAACATAAATCCATTAATGCTCTTCGTTACTCACAAATAGCATAAATGTGACAGAGGAAAGCACCTAGATTTGATTTGATAGCTGCACATTATCTTTTAGTCTCGAATAACAACCTCCTCATTTCCATCGAATAAAGGTCCTGCCTGGTTTGCTACTTAGGTTTGAACGATGGTAATTTAAGGCTCTGTGCGCCCTTTGTATTTACGGGAAAATGTCACTTAATCTAAAATGAACCCAAATTGATTATTTAATATACGATCAAGAACACAAGATTAAATTCAAAATCCCACAAATGATGTGCAGAGATTTTAAGTAATGATCTTATGACATGTTATTATACGTTTTTGGAGCCACGGTGGCTAAGTGAGTAAGACGCTGGTTCGCTAGGCTGGGGGTGGTCGGTTCGCTCCAGGTGTTTGCCAAGAAAGTTCATTGGGATTTTTCCTGCACAGCTTCCTCTTGTCAGTGGTGCAGGACGGAGGGCCTGACACGGCTGCTGACTAGTCGTTCGAATGGTACGAAAAACCGAGGTCCCGTGTACACATCAGCATGCACGTAAAAGAACCCTTGGCGGTTGAAATTCAATATAAATGTAGACCGGACAAAATATCCCTCTTGGCACACTGCATGACATATGCACGTCTTCATTAGCCTGAACAGTACAGTAGAACATTTTAACCCCATTTCATTTCCTTTCGATATTACTAAATTCACATTTTGTTTACTCTCAATACAAGCACAACTCTTTAAGCTTTCTTTTTAAAATGTTGTCATGTTGAGAGAAGTCGATCTAAAATAACACAGGCGATAATATCAAACCAACAAAAACACAGAAAGCAAAGAAATACCGGCTCTTTAAGAAGTTTTGCTCCATTCATCACTGTCTACTCCTAACCCTGATATGCAGCCGTGTGACAGCCCAAGCGATGCACTTCACAGAAATAGTTTAACGAAAAAGGCAGTCAAGAAAGATTAAAAAGTTGAATTTCAATTGAAGAAGATAAAGATTCAGAGAAAAGTTATTTCCTTGCGATAATTGAATTCGTGTTTGTCTGAAGACTTTATGTTGTGAAAAGGAAGCGATTGAGCAATTAAATCGATGGTGAGAAATTGGTATAGACTTGACCCAATATGTTGCTAGAAGTATTTACTAACACTTCTATCTTGCGTTTCATTTAACCCTCACTTCATTTGTATGTGCAACTTTTATTGAAACGGACTGTGATTGAAAAGATATTACGTATGAATAATTGTTTTATTAAATTGTATTAGGTAATAAAATCGTTGTTTAAATATTGACTGTTGTTTTTTGTGATAATTTGAGATTGTTAAAGGGACTATCCCGATTTGAACAGAGTCTACAAAATAAAAGTCTGAGTACGTATGAAATTTAAACGCCAAAATATAGAGGAATGTTTTATATACCCCTTCTCAAAATTCTAGCTCAAAATATTGAGTCGTTTGGACGTGAACTTCCAAACTGCTTATCCGGACACGTAACCCTTTTAAGATTTCGGGTCAATTTTTCGACGGGTGACCTGATAATCGATTCCCGTTCCATTTGAGGTTTATACAGTAAATGACCCATGTGCTATACTTGGTAACGAAAGGTAAATTTCACCGACACATTATTTTTATAAAATAAAAGTCTTGGTTTTATCCAGACACCGCATAATACAGCTTGGGACGCTGGTTTCCATTTCCCGATGAAGATTGACGGGTTTAAGTTGTTTGAAAACGTATCACATATATTGAATTAGTTGCTCGGCCCTAAGGTAGAGGCTTTTATGGGATTTTAACCCAAAATTAAGCAGTTTTATTCTCCAAAATATATTCGGGATAGGCCCTTTAATAAAGCGATCTTTTATAAAGATTCTTCAATATTCAGAAACAAATAGACTAGTGGGAAGGCCGGGGAAGGTGTTCTGAAAGCGGGTGGTGGTCTTGGGGATGGTGGTGTTTTGAAAGTGTGTATCAGGGTTTGGGGTGATAATTGGTAGCGGCACGCGATTTGAGGACATTAAAGTGGATGAAGGAGGTGGGTATTGTAAAAGTGACTGTCGTGAAAGTGAGTCAGTGTTAAGAAATTGGGGCAATGAGGTGTTGTCGCAGTGGCTTGAGGCGGGGGGGGGGGGTGCGCAAGTGGGGTGAGTGAGAGCATTATGAACGTGGGCTGGGGTGTTGTGGAAGTGGATGAAGATATAAGTTGTGAAAGGGGATGGGAGAATTAAAGGATATTAGTTATTTGCTTCTAATATAAATTTTAAAAATATTTGAGAGATAATTCAATGGGCTGGTTATTCTTGTGAATACGTATAACATCAGTTAAACGTACTGTGATCACAGAACTCATCCCCAATGGTATCAATGTTGATAATAATAATACGACCAGGCTTCAGTATTCACCGCTGAAGTGGTTTTTTCAACAAAGTAATAATAACTCTCATTCCCATGTCTTAGATCTTTAACATTTGAATTTGAATATTAACACTATCTAGCTCCTTCACGTCCACTTCTCTCGACAGTGGATTGTACCATATATTTTATTTTTGACCAAAGCGGTGGAACGGAATGGAATTTAAAGTGTTTTCAACCAGACATCATGGCCGTTTGAGACCAATTTATGATTATGTCTATTTACCATGGTCATATGATCAATGAAATGTTCGACCTTTTGCTCTTTGAAGTGAAACTGTTATGGTTCTTGCACTGGCAGTTTTTATCTCTTCAAGACTCATTGTCCTGTAGCCCGTGCGCGCAATCATTTGACAAGTGGACATCGGACTAAAATCCTGGTTCAATTTAGCTATAAGAAGTGAATAATGTGTCTCCACACCTAAAATATGATCAGTGTATTAGCTGACGATTGTTCTTCGTGGTAACATTCCTTATTCCTCCTTACTTTTATTATTCCTAATCTACAAGGTAGCGTCAACAATTATAGTAGCCTCCCTATTAATAGCTAACAATTGTCCTTTGTGGTAACATTCCTTATCCTTCCTTACTTTTATTATTCCTAATCTACAAGTTAACGTACCTATCACTACTTATCAGTAATTAAGGTAGTCTCCCTATTAATCCTTATCTACAAGGTACATTCTCTATTAATCCTTGTCCCCAAGGTAGCGTCGCTATTTCTCCTGATCAACCAGGTATATGTCTTCTTACTCCTTATCGACAATGTAAATAACTTATTATAGATAGATTCCTTATTAGGCGATTAACAACGCCATCAAAGTATTAATGAGAAAATGAGAATAATAATTATATAATATGTTGTTCACTTCGAATTCATATTGACCTTGAGGAGAAGAGTCAAAATTGGCTATAGATTGGTTATTCGCTTGTAGTGATTATTTTTGCAAGAAATTAAGCTGTAGTTATGTTACCATATTTACATGTACAATTACTAACTTCAGTTCAAATCAGTACATCTTGGTATTATTTTAATATCCTCGGATCAATATTTCTTCAAAGAAAAGAAAAGAAACAAGTTGTGTCAGCTATCATTTATTATCCAAGGTAACCGTTGACATTTGTGTACATAAATAGCACAGGACGCGGTATTATTGACTTTATGTTTCACAGACAGCAGAAAGCATGGTAAATAATCATATCTAAATGGTGGAAATATCCTTCCCACCAATTCATCTTTTACCGTTTGAAGACTGCTGTGATATCAGATAGTAACATCTTGGGATTAGATTATATATCCGTATATTTAATTCATTTATTTAAAGGGGCATATCTCTATAATATGTAATATTTTGATGGGATTTATGCGTATAATATTTTAAAGGAGTGTATGTCTATATTAAGTGATGAGGTATATCCATTTTATATGTAACATTTTAAAGAGGTAATACGTAATGTGGTATATGTGTATAATATGTAATGTGGTATATCTGTATAATTTGTAATATTGTAATGGGGTATATTTGTATAACATGTACTATATTAATGGGGTATTTAGTATATAATATGTAATATTTTAAAGGAATATAAATGTATAATATGTAATATTTTAAAGGAGTATATCTGTATAATATGTAATATTTTAAAGGGGTATACGTGTATAAAATGTAATGAGGTAATGTTATAATATGTTATATGTAATGTGGTGTATGTGTATAATATGTAATATTTTAAAGGGATATCTGTGTATAATATGTAATATTTATTTGAATATATGTGTATAATATGTAATATTTTAAAGGGATATCTGTGTATAATATGTAATATTTATTTGAATATATGTGTATAATATGTAATATTTAGTAGAATATATGTGTATAATATGTAATGGGGTATACCTATATAAAATAAAATATTTGAATATACTATTTAATGATCTGTAAAGGGTACATGGGGTTTAACGTCCACTCGACACAAACTAGGTCATTTCGAGGACTAACATAATGGTTAAATACTATTCCAATAATTCGCTTGCGCGTAGGGGTCTTTAGCAGTGGGAAACCAGAGGACAGGCGACCCTACTCCTTGTCACGTACAACCAGAGAATCGAAACCACGCCAGTAACGTTGACTCAATGATAGACCTTATGATACAGCGTGCACGTGCTAAATATTCGGCTATCTACCCCATCCCACCCCATGTTTAAAGGGACCATGCCATTTTAACAGAGTCTCAAAAATAAAACCTGAGCATGTATGACATGTATTTAGCTTGTCTCAAAATTTCAGCTCAAAATATTGAGTCGTTTGGACGTGAACGCCAAAACCGCTTGGAACACCGGTCTTCATTTCCAGACGAAGACTGACGGGTTTAAGTTGTTTCAAATCGTATATTGAGGTAGTTGCTCGGCCCTAAGGTAGATGTTTTTAAGGGCTTTTCACACAAAGTTAAGCAGTTTTATTCTCCAAAATATAATCGAGATTGGCCCCTTAATATGTAATATTTCATGGGGTATGTGTGTATAATATGTAATATTTCATGGGGTATGTGTGTATAATATGTAATATTTATTGGAGTATATCTGTAAAATATTTAAAATTTAATGGAGTGCACGTAAAAGACCCCTGGGCAGTTGGAATTTGATGAAGAGTAGACATAAACGCCTTTGTCCGGGCAAACGCCCATCGTTGCACATTGCTTAGTGTTTATCCGCCTTCATTAGGCCGTTGGTGCAGGATAGTAGGACGTACGTTAAGTTAAATTATATTTTATTTTATTTCATTTCAACGATTTACAGGTTTTTTTCATTTTGATTTCAACTGTCTGGCTAACTAATACTATTCAATATATTATATTTCTAGGACTACACAATTACCATGTATTTAAACCAATACTGGCGGGACGATCGTCTAGAGTTCTCTAAAAATAGCAACGAAAGTATGACCTTGACCGGAGAATTCGCAGAGAGAATTTGGGTTCCTGATACTTTCTTAGCCAATGACAAGAACTCTTATCTTCATGACGTCACAGAGAAAAATCAAATGATTCGGATATATGGTAATGGGTCCATAGTATATGGAATGAGGTAAGGTTTGGCGGTGTTTTTGGAAGCTTTTCGTCCCATACTTTATCTTAGACGGATATATAAGTAGTATAACTTCGAAACTGGAAGTGGTAGTTTATCGGCTATGTCACTCCCCGATCCGAGCTACCCCTATACATCCCTGGTGTAGCCGCCAACCCTGAACAGACAGACAGACAAACAAACGACAGTCATAAATACCAGTATAGATTGCCCACCTTGGTTGCACATGGGAGAGAATGTTATGGAAATCAACCATGCCACGTTTTACCACACACCAATCTGCACAAAGATAACTCTTTACTTCGAGAATAGCTCTCTGCCATGGATGACAGCCATGTCAAAAAATTAGTATACGCTTTTGTAATGCGGTTCTACTCCGTTTCAAACCTGTCATACATACAAAGTCTAATTAAACCTATTCAATTTTATTAGGAGTAAGGGGGATAAATACTTCTTTAAATTCGCGAACTATACTTAATGTTTTCGAATAAAATCGTCGATTTAGAAATTAAAAAGTCGGTCAACTATCTTCGTGTCTGTTTGCAAGCGGTGCTAATATTAGATAGACAGCGTAAGTTTGGTATGATGCTGTAAGTAACCATAGAAGCAGATATGTATCGATGATTATTGTTTGTTTTTAGGTTTACGACAACGTTAGCTTGTATGATGGATCTGCATAATTACCCTTTAGATGAACAAGAATGTACAGTAGAAATAGAAAGTTGTAAGTATTGAATTTCTTTATGTTAAAATTAAAATATTATGACCAGTTATAACAACCAGTCAGATTTAGATAGTAATTAATGTGCTACGGTTAATGTCAATCAGGGTAGAAGCTATTAGACGTATGTAATCCATTAATATGTTTTGATGACAACACTCGAGCTTATTCATTAATAAATAGTTAGAATAGAAAATAAAGGCCAATGTACATATCACATCTGTCCATTATACCATATGTATTGTATTGGACGTTAAATCTGTAATAAACAACATCGACAGGCAAGTCATTAGGTCACCCGACTTAGTAGCAGCTAGGTCGGTCATCCACTGTGGTGTACCTTGGGCAACTACAAATTAGTGCTTAGTTATCATTCCGAGTTGAAATCTTAAACGAACATTAGAAGTATTAAATGTTATAGAAGATTTCGCCTTGATTGGTTGTCATTCTGAGCTGCCATTCTTAAAATCCTTAATTTAGTAGCCCAACGCGTCAGGGGCAGCTCCTTGATTTGCATTACAGACAAGACTGGAAATTTACTTGTGTTTAAGTCATGTGTTTATTAGTCCATCAGCCAATCAGCTTAATTAACTCATGCTGCCAAACTTGTTCGTCCTTTATCTATCCCGCGAAACATTTTGTTTTTGGTCGTCAAAACCATTTTTATAGTTTTAGTCAATTCTTTAATATGATATAGCAGATGGTTTGTTAAAGATACATTATGGGAGATTAGATAACGAATCGGCAGTTCTCACTATAATAGTTAAAAACTAGATAATGTAAAGGGAATTTGCTGAAAATTTCAGTCAAATTGATCTACTCTGAACCGAAATTTTAGCGAACAGCAAATCGGAACTTAATGCAATAAACATCACAAGCTAGCGATGACATCAAAAGTTGATCATGGTCTTAACAAGTTAATTAATGTCTAATTAATAATTTAGATAACATTTCAGACGTAAAGAAAGACCTGCAATAGGCAGATTTAACTCTTGCATAATGTCTGTTTTATATGCAGCATGGTCTTACCCAAGGGACAGTAAAATCTAATTCATATTACATATTTGATTAGTCTGCATGTTTCTGCATGTTTCGTAAATAATTAGATCTAACATACGGTTGTTTGCCTGTGCTATTTGTTCGTAGCTGTTTACAATAGACAACGAAGAATACTATACACACATACAACTTGTTAGATTTGTTAGGTTAAAAGTAAAAAATGGGTCTGGTAAGATATGAAATACAAAAAATAAATGAATTGAAAAACACCTGAATATAAACACAGTAGCCACTGTGGATAAACTGACGTAAAACTAAGTAACCACTGTGGATAAACTGACTTAAAACCAAGTAACCCGCTGTGGATAAACTGACTTAAAACCAAGTAACCACTGTGGATAAACTGACTTGAAACCAAGTAACCACTGTGGACAAACTGACTTAAAACTAACTAACCACTGTGGATAAACTGACTTGAAACTAAATAACCACTGTGGATAAACTGACTTGAAACCAAGTAACCCGTCGTGAATAAAGTGACTTAAAACTAAGTAACCACTGTGGATTAACTGACTGAAAACCAAATAACCACTGTGAATAAACTGAATTAAAACTAAATAACCACTGAATGAAATTATGGTTTATTTGTAATTACATCATAAAATAATTATTTAGATGTGTTTATAGGAAACGGTTGAATGCTCTATTCTAGGGTTTGTTTTCGCTCTTTAAGAAAGGGTTGGAATCTCTGAGGTAGGAACTATTTGGATCTTTCTTTAAGTGGTCGTTGCGGTATTCTATTTAATGAGTCAATTTGGAATATTTGTTCACATGTGTATAGGTAGTTATCTTTTATTGCATGGCGTATACTTGTCATCACTAGCGCAATAAGCACCCGTTTTAAGTAGAATGCAAGAGTCCACTAGAATAGCCCAGTAGCAAAAATACAAACTAAATTAGGAGTGACTACATTCCTTGTCCTATCAAAGTTGCTAAGAAAGGTTTGCTGGTTGCTGAGAAAGGCACGCTAGTACTTACGAGGTGCGCTAGTTTCCCTTATTCAGTCGGACGCCTGCCGAAAAAAAACAAAGAATTACTTCAATATATTCCTTAGGTGACCTTATTTGGTAATTCTGTAGATTCTGTGTTATTAATGCGTCTGATTTCACGAGCTGAGACAAATTCCCACATAAAAAAATCCTATTAAAGACTCCATAAAGAATGGATTTCATTGTCTTTTGTCGCTGAAAGGTGACCGAACTTAATCGATACTACAATGAAAGGTTTCTAAAAAGTAATTCTACATAAAGATTGTAAAAGACTGGCGATATAAATAGGATGATAGACCGTTCTTAAATTGATGAACAAAATGTCCTTCAAATAAACCAACTGGTAGGAGGTTACTCAAAATAATGTATTACAGCTTTTGATGTTGGAGTTTTTTGGTTTGTTTGTTTTTGTTTTTTTAAGGGGGTGGTGGGTATGAACAATACTTTTATTTGAACTAACCTTGTTTGTTTCCCACGACATGGGGTTTAACGTCGTACTTTATTGCAATAACTAAATTGCGAAGAGCTCAAATTTGTGTTATTGTTTTAGTGCTCAGCCAATCAACAATTGGTATTCTCAAAATATTTTAGGGCCCTTGTTCTTTATCTTAAAATACCAAGAAGAGAGAGAGGGGGCGGATAGAGAGAGAGAGAGAGAGAGAGAGGGGGGCATTTTCTGACTAACATATGGTTCAATTTTAGTTCATTAATCCGCTTGCAGAAAGTATAATTCCTATGCTCTTTATTTATAATATTAAATTGCACAATCCATATAAAAATAAAAGTCGTGTTTTACTCCTCACGCGAAAATTTGTCTACAGATAACGTTATGTAAATGGAAAGATCAATGCAGTGTGAATAGAAAGGCAATGACAAGACCTGCCTAGAATTAATAGAATGACAAGACCTACCTAGAGAGTGAATATAATGTCAAGAGTTACCTAGATTTAATAAACGCCAAGACCTACCTAGAGTGAATATATTGACATGACCTACCTATAGTGAATATGACAAGACCTACCCAGAGAGAATATAATGACCAGACCTACCTAGAGATAATAGAATGACAAGACCTGTCTAGAGTTAACAGAATGACAAGACCTGTCTAAAGATAATAGAATGACAAGATCTGTCTAGAGTTCATAGAATGGCAAGACCTACCTAGAATGAGTATGATGGCCAGACCTACCTAGAGTTAACAGAATGACAAGACATGTCTAAAGATAATAGAATGACAAGACCTATCTAGAGGTAATAAAAAGATGAGACCTACCCAGAGTTAACAGATTAACAAGACCTACCTAGAGTTAATAGAATGACAAGGCCTATCTAGAGTTAATAGAACGGTCATACCTTCCTAGAATTAATATAATGACAAGACTGTTCTAGAGTTAATAGAATGACAGGAACGTTCTAGGGTTCATAGAATGACAAGACCTACCTAGAGATAATAGAATGATATGGCCGATCTAGAGTTAATCGAATGACAAGACATTTCTAAAATGACTAGACTGGCAAGAGTGACCTAGAGTGTTTAGAATGGCAAGACCGATCATGAGTTCAAATTATGGCGATACCTATCTAGAGTTAATAGAATGGCAAGATCGATCTACAGTTAATATATTGACAAGACTGCTCTAGTGTGAATATAATTCTAGAGGGTACAGATCGACAAGACTGATGTAGAGTTATAGAGTTAACAGAGTGGCAAGACCGATATAAAGGACAAGCGCCATTAAAGTGAATAGAATGAAGATAAAAAAAGTGACATTTAAAGATTTGTGATCAATAACTAAGAATGAGATTCAGTTCCGTTCAACAAACTACAATAAATGCGAGAGCCAATATCAACATCAAAGGCCAACTAAAACGGTCACATTTTCATTGAAGAAAGAAATGTTTAATCCGACACAATAATTGAATCATGATTTAGCTGATCACGACTAGAGGTCTGTAGACCGAATGCATCTGTGTTACCACCACGCTACCTACTTACTATATAGCAACACATGGTCTTACTACAACCATATTGCCATACACTGTTGTTTTGAATGTCTGTGATTTTCAGTAATGTCTTAAAGTTACAATTTCACATTTTTAAGTTACATTTTTAAAATGTATTAAAATAAAGCCCTAAAATAGATGGTATTTATAAACAGTCCTACCTTGTTAAAGAATAATCCTATTAATCCTATAATTTACTATTGCCAGTTGAGAAATTGGCAAAGATATCATTTTCCACTTCAAATTCAAACTTTTGAAGATAGCTATTCCATGGCGGGGAATAGGAAAACAAGGGAGGTAATTGTGTTATTATTTCCAGTGTGAAGATTTTTAAGTGTGAGAAAGATAACCTATGATCGTATAATAGTGAGTTGACAACCTATTGAGCAAAAGACATATAAATATTATGTATTGACTTTCTTAGAAAATATGAAATTGTAATTTTAAGGTAATGATGCATGCATTGCATTTTTGGGGGAAAATTTCAAATTCTTCACTACTTAATTTACGCTAATATTTACTCAATTTGAGTATTTAACATTTAATTAAACATAATCAAAATAACAACGCTCGATAATCTCCCAGCTTGGATTCATTCAGATATGAAATAGGCCTATCAATTTGGTTCACGGCAAATAAAGATGACAGTCGTCTTTTTACATAAGGAGTAACATAGAACGATAAAATTGTCAGTTTGGTATAAATTTGTAAATACTGAACGGAATTGAAACATTTTTTGATTTTTATTTTGAATTTGACTTTTGATATTTAAAAATATTACCTTAGTGGAAGTCGAACTTTAGATAATTTATCAAAAAAAAGGCAACAGGGTTATATCTAAAATATAAGAAATTCACTAAATGTGGTTCTTTTGTACAAACATATTTTTTGATATTGTTTTGATTTTATCTAACTGTCGGGCTTTTATGCTGTCTGTCAAATGAATGACACGAGAGTAAGAATCGTCCGTAAAAATATCTCTGGGGTATGGAATTGTGAAAAACAAAGCATCTGTAGTCATGATTGAAGATCGAGATAGCGATATAAACTTTCTATGAATATCGGTCTTTGACCAGGATTTGTTGAGACCCAAGCAGGTGTCTTTGACTTGAAGTTATCGTCAATTATTCATTATTTATCAGTCTATGTTACATTTATAGAATTGAAACAAGTTACTCGTAATACTTCTAGAAACGCTTTAATTTCCCCTAATCAACGCCCATATTAAATTTATTCTATAGATTGTCATATTAGGATAATGTAGATATTTTTTGCGTTTTCTCTGTTCAGACGAGACAGGAAATCGAAACCCAGAATAAGTTAAATATAGAATAAACGATCATATGATATGACGATATAAGAAATCGGGGTTAACAACGTAACATTGTACTATAATAGAACGAACGCTATTACTGCCAGCAGAACACCATTACCGACAATATAACGCTATTACTGACAGTAGAACACCATTACTGGCGGTAGAAAGAAATGAAATGAAATGGGGTTTAACGTCCTACTGTTCTGCTCCTAAACTGGGCAAATGAAGACGGGGGCGGTAGAACACCATTACTGAAGGTAGAACACGAGGAAAGAACTTACATAGGCTTTGCCTGTTGTCCAATCCTTTTCAAATGAATAAATCTTTTTAAACTAAACTAAGAACACCCCCACTGACAGTAGAACACCGTCGCCGACATTAAAATACCGTCATTAGCAGTAGAACGCCATCACAACAAAATACAACATGGTATTTATTTTCGTCTGTGAAGTAAAGATATAGGAAGCATTGCTTTCATTCATGAATTGCAACACCATTGCGTCATTGCACCAAAAAAAAACCATAATAAATGCTGAATAGTACTGATTGTAAATGACATACATTTTGTATTGATCAACCATTCAGGGTACAAAACACCAGCCAACTTTCCCTTGATGTTGTAAATGAGTACAATTATGTTACACCCAATCAATCAAAGCCTTGACTTTTTGTGACATTTGATGCCCGGAACGTGCTCATAACTCTCCCGGGAGAGATTCAGAGATTTGGGGGAATATATAGTTTCTATGAAACGTTTCAAATCAAACAATTACCGATGTTAAGCAATCGGTAACTTTGAAAGGAAAAGAGTAAAATCTAGGATTCTGTAAAACCGGTATGTCATAGATAGAGCTTATAGCGAACACAAATAGTTTTATGCCAAGTGCCAATGATCTGTCTGTAAGCTTACGAATCGCCCGCAACTATATTTAAAGTACGTTTCTCCAATTTCAATTCTTATCTGAGGCTCCTAAAATATGTGTATGATCTTAATTCAGTGGAAACTCATAATGAGACTATAAACAAATCTGATTGAGTGTGTTGTGGTGGTTTTTAATTTTAATGACATAAATAAAACCCGTTGTGGCAATCTATATACACAGCCTTGCTAGGTTGATGTTTGAAAATTCCAAGTTGCGTGTGAGTTAGGACTTGATATTATGACCTGATTGAAATTGGTTTAAACTCTGGCTTAGTTTCTAATTTTCTTTTTTAAGTTCATTTTCAACGTAACCTTGTTCTTTGTCTTTGTTAAAATATGGAATATCAATAGGTTCCCTCTTTTGAAATATTAAATGTTTCACAAGGTACTCATTGAACTATGTTGTCTAAAAGTGGCATGTAAATTATTTATCCATTAGGAAATGGTCTTTAATTTGCTTATGGGGACACTTGGGTATTGTTTTCGGTATCGCATGGGTGGTTCAGGTACGTAGACATGGCTATCAAGTCACACTTGTCCCAGTCTGTGTCATAGCGATAATGCGAAAGCCTTCATTTAACTCTGTGTAAGATGACTGATCTCTAAGTGCACGTGCAGCATAGGTTTATGTGTGACATCACATCATAACACCAGCGTTGTTGACATCTGACGTTGTGGCACAAAATAATCGGGTATAATTGGTAAGAGAACGAAATTGGCCATATCTCTCAAATATAGCGGGAGCCGCGGTTGCTCAGTGAGTAAGACGTTTGCTCGCTAACCTAGGATTCCCGTGTTCGATCCCGGTGTTGGTCGATAGATTTCATCTCGATTTTCCGGCATGGTTTCCCATTGTGCAGGATGGAGGGCCTGGAAAGGGACAGCGTATAATTGTTCTGATGGTGCGAAAACCGAGGTCCCGTGTACACAATGGCATGCATGTTAAAGAGCCCTTGACGGTTTGGATTCGAAATAAGAGTAGTGCAGCTACTGCGTAGTGTATGACCATCCTCATTAGCCCAGTTGGAGCAGAACAGTAGGACGTTAAACACCATTTCATTTCATGTAAATCTCATTTGATATACACATACATTATACATACTCTTCAATATTTCAGATGGTTACACAACAGATGACTTGGTGCTGCAGTGGCTACAAGATAAAGCTGTATCGGGTGTGGATCAGTTAGAATTACCACAGTTTTCTATTGTTAATTATCATGCAGGACACTGGATAGAGAAATTATTAACAGGTAAGACGTCACACAGCCTTGACTATCGTTATCCCCAAATGGTGGATGCCAGGGACATATATAGAGAGGGAAATCCGCGGTTGCTCATTGAGTAAGCCGTTGGTTTGCCGACCTAGAGGTCCCCTGTTCGAACCCGGTGTTGGTCGAGAAAGTTCATCTGTATTTTCCGGCATAGTTCCACTTGCCAGTGGTTTACAACGGAGGGTCTGGTAGGTGACAGCTGTCTAGTCGTTCTGATGGCACAAAAAAACCGAGGTCCCGTGTATACATTGGCGTGCAAGTAAAAGATCCATTGGCAGTGAGAATTCTATATAAAAGTAGGCTGTAGTGCCGCCGTTCGGGCATGATTTCCCGGATAGCCCATCTTCTTTTGCCCAGTCAGGGCAGAACAGGAAAGCGTTAAACCCCATTTCATTTCATACATAGGGAGTGCGCTTAGGGAGCTTTTGCCTAGATAGCGACACTGTGGCCTAACTTAATTTCAGGGGCTCTTTAATGATATACTGGATAGAGCCCACGTTTTTCTTTGTCCCATGTACAGGACTAGAATCGTTTAATTGCGAGACCTACCGTTCTGCACCACCACCAAGAGAAAACCAGTCCGCAATGTTCTCAAGCTGCGCCATACTCACAAGTCACTGTGGCTTCTGGGAAGAGACAACCAAGTCGGACATTGAGCAATCAAGTTTATGTTATTTCGTTTTGTCTTTAACTTATGAACCTCTGACGTAATGATAGATGCTGATCACCTTAAAATGGTTTCCACGCAACCTTGTCTGTTTCCATAGAAATTGATATTGACAATAAAATTACAAGAAATTCATAAAACAACGAAAATTGATATTTCAACAAAGACGTTTTGTTGACATGAAGTGGCTCTAAACATGCAATTTTAATGACAGAAGAAATAAAAGATTTCAGACAAACGAAATTTATACAAGTCGGACTCGGGTATAATTTGATATAAACATTGGTTTTATCAATTTCTTTTATTTAAATTGTCTGTCGTAATATTGGCTTATTCATGCCTGGTAAGAATTGAAAAGGAAACTAATTTGAAGAAGCGTGAGTTTGGAACTCTGATATCATCTTACAGGACCTTTCTGTCTAACGCTTACAGAATTCCCAGATGTGTCTCACCCCATGGCCTTTTAATGTCCGCCTACATCATAGAAACTTTACTATATATCCATGGTAACACTGATTCCATGAAATTTCTTACTGAATTCCATCAATATCGGCAAATGTTATTTGCCTTCATTTTTTTTGTCCGAGGGATTGTTAATCCCTTTGCAGTCTAAAATAGCCGAATTTCGTTCAGTATTTACAAAGAACAGATGATTGTAAAATTATGTTAAATAATCAATTTTAGTGCATTCTAGCGAGTATTCAACAGTGGGGAAAATGTGATATTTTCCGAAAAATGCAAATTACAAGGAGAGCTTTTAATTTTCGCTTGAATAGACTGAAGCTTTATTAAATCTCATTAGACATTAAATCTCATTCCATCCAATACTAGTATAAAATGGCACGTCTCTCGGATAGTTGTTGTTTATTACAAATTTAACGTACAATACATTATGCATGATATTATATTAGGATTTTTTACATATGAAAGAATAATAAAAATTGGTAATATTTTAAAAAAATAACGTTCTTACGGCTATTTCCAATTAAAATCTGTTTGTGAGTTCCATAAGGTTAAACATTTATATACCTTTAAAACAGTTCACCAGTTTTACGTTTAAGCAGTCTGTTGTCTATTAAAAGGTTGTTTTTTTTTCTTGTGGATGTCTCTCCCCAGATAAAAGTTACTTGAAAAGGGAAAGTAAAACCAGCAGCAACACAGAACAGAACAATTTAAACATTTATAAGAATAATCTCCCTGATAGATGATGTTTTATAGTACCAAATTTTAGTTATTTTAGGATAACATTACATATAGTGTATTAATTTAAATACCTCGGAATATTCATTCATTGGTATTTTAAAGTGAAGAAATTTCTGAAACTAAATTTTAGTTAATCTTTAAGTGACATTTCGTAACTGGATAGAGTAATATAAACTATATCACATATCACTAAACTACTTATTTATTTGAGCGATACTCTTCAAAACGTCGCCCAAATTAAATAAGTCATTGTTTTTCCATATGTATGCGTTATAGTTTATTGTAAATTTGAGTTATTTTAGAATAACACTATATATAGTGTATTAATTTAAATACCTCGGAATTATTCATTCATTGGTGTTTTATAGTGAGGAAAATTTCTGGAACCAAATTTTAGTTATTTTAGAACAACATTACTTGGAGTTTTAATTTAAATACCTCGGGATATATCGTTTTTCAATCACCCCGTGCTGGATTGTATCGCTATATCTGACCGACAAGTCTAGCAATTACTATCAACTCTATAATATCATTGGAGAAAATGAAATATAGCACGATCGCCTGAACTTATTCATTCGTTTTTATTTGAAAAAATAAGATTTTATGAAAAGACGCCGGAATGATTAAAATTCATACCATGATTATTACCCGTTTGCGTGACCTATAACGCACTTTGATAATAAATCTTTTCTTTCGTCCAATATAATCTCCTTTATTTGATATGCTTTGGGGCTGCATTTAAAATAACTGGCTTCTTTCAAACAGAAATATGTCTTGGTACACGACATTCTGAGAAAATGGGTTAATATGTGATTAGATTGTGTTCGGTGGTCTTTTATTTGAAGAAATAGATTTAGCCTACATATTAATATTTCCATTTAGTGTCCTAAATATAGCATCTTATGCCAACTATATACACTCAGTCCTTAGGTGTCAAAGCCGCGTGTTTCTATCATAGTCTCGATCGTCACACAAAAACCTACTATTAGACTTGTAGTTAAAATATCAACCTTTGATGCCATTGGACGCCTACGATTTTAAATAGATTAAAACGGTTGGGCCAACTAATGATTTAGTTTAAAAATGGAGAAAAGAGGTTAAGACTCGAATGACTAGTACAGTAGTTACGATATTGTCAAAACTACAACCATTGATAACCTTGCTCAAAATAAAGTAATTTGAATGCAATTTTCAAGATATTAATTTTGCATTATCTATTTTTGAAATATTCTAGGGATAATTACCAGCTCTTTATCTAAATCTTACATAATGCCCTTTTAATTTGTAAGTAGGAAATATGTAAGTTTAATTAAGGGCTATTTGTAAGTAGGAAATATGTAAGTTTAATTAAGGGCTATTTGTAAGTAGGAAATATGTAAGTTTATTAAAGAGCTACCTGGTAATTACCGTATATACGACATTTAAAGAAAAGTAGGACGTTAAAACCCAATTTCGTTTCATTTAAATGGCAATTTGTACCAAAACATATCTAAGTTAGTTTTAACTCTTTGAGAAAAAAAACCCAATCAAACCCCGTAATTTTATACATATATAACTGGTAATTTGAAGCTCATTTTGACTACAGTGTCATCACTCTTGATCATTATATTATCAGATCGAGGTCATAGTACTTCAGTATTTCACTTTCTCTTTGACTGAAAACACATTAACTTATCAAGGCAATCATCAGCTCCTTTGACTTTTACCAGGAATATTGTCTGTGACAATTAACAGGAACCATTGCTTAGACTCAGCTACTGACAGGAACCTTCTCTTGGACTATTTACTGAAATCTTTTCTGAACTAATCAACAGGAACCCGAAACAGCCTGCTTTACTTTGACGTGCGCAGGAAATGACTTTTTATATTTGGCCTATCTGATTGCATCGCGCTTAATGAGTCGTTTTATATACATTGATTAGTAATAGATTGGAAATGACTTTCTTAAGATGGGCTGTGAGCCATTTGTTTAACGTAGCAGGAGTTTCTTACTATGATTAAAACATTAATGATTTCATAACCTACTAAAACTTAAAGTGGCCATAATAAGTCAATGCTTAATCATACTAATCGTTAATTATGTATATTATGTATTTAACTCCAGTACTTACCTTTATTTCTCCATTCTTCTCACTATCAATGGAGGATTTTAGTGCTGGAAGGTGGACAAGTGTTGTTGTTTTTAAATAAGATCATTTGATGTTTTCAAATAAATCCATTTTTAGCAGATTTTCTTAGCAACCTGTTCGTTTTTATCATTTCTATCACAATATAAGTCAATTTTAGTGTTCTGGTCTAAAATACTATTTTTTTGCAGATTGTGTCGAATGGACTTGTCAGGCTTATTGCACTAGTATCCGCAATTACAATCTTGAATAACGACCATATCTCTCTATTACATCGCCTGTAAAAAAAAGTTATTTTGATTGGAGATTCCAAACGTTGTATTTGAGAATTGTAATTTAGAAATTCTAAACGTTTAAGCTCTGGTTCTTCAGTAACGTTCATTGTGTATTTCTCTGCTGTCAAAAGGGGGATGGGTGTCTAGTCTACTACACTAATTTAAGATAGATTTAGAGATTTTAAACGTTGTATTTGAGAATTAGGTTTGTAAAATGAAATGTAATGGAATTTTAACGCCCTACTTTTCTGCGCCGACTGGACTTATGAAGACGGGCTGGGATTTTGTAGGATTCATTAAGTTTGTGGATAAATTGTTTCAATGGCATTTAATAATTGAACTTGAATATACAGGTCACAATTCTATGGAATGCAATTACTGCGCGACGTTTCGATTTGACTTCTCTAGTTAATAACAAGCTTGCTAAAGACTAGATAATCCTAATGGAAACATTGCTTAGAAATAGGCAGTAATTGTATTCCATATAATTTTGACCTATATAAGTTTGTAGATGACCATAATGGCCAGACTCCCTATATATGGCTTTGACTCGTTCTTCCTTTTTCTTTTCCGATAAACATGGTTATTAGTTCTTTGTGCACGTGCATTATTCTAAACTGACCATTACACTTTCCATGGATATGAATATCACGTGAATTCGAACGGACCGGAATTGAAAATTGACTATTCGCTCGATTTGAATAGAGATAATAGGGATTTTGTTACTGGACGATAAATGGGTTTTATATTTGGAGAATGAAAGGAAGTGGTTTGCCTTTATGATCTGTCGACAGAACTCAGGCTTATTGAATGCAAACATGACTGTTTGATTATATTGAACAATTTCCTTAGGGAAATAAACTGTCATTTATGAGATTATACAGAGATTGCCCAATGGGGTACAAATGGTCATTTAATTGTCTTCTGCTATCATAGAATCTAGGTCCTGATAGTCCAGTAATTCTTCTCTCAGATATTCACAGATTGTCAATAAATACGTTATGTATTTTATATATATAAGCCTATTAAATTCGCCATCTATACATATTGGATAATACATTCATGGTGACAGGATGAACACACATCTCTCGGGATACTTCAAGGGAATCTTTTGTTATAAGAGAGAGGGAGGGAGAGAGAGAGAGAGAGAGAGAGAGAGAGAGAGAGAGAGGGGGGCAGAATTCGGGACCAAACTTCAATGGATGACAGGTCATATGGTGAGGTTCAGTTGCGCAGTGGAGCGGGGTCCCGGTATTATATTTATGTCAGTTAAGCCTCGATTTATATTTTACGATAGTAACCTTTGAAGCCTCAAAATACCAGAATATAGCGTTTAAGACCATATCAATAATACATGCATTATAAAATACTTTGATCAAGACATTATTAAAATCAATCATTGACATCTTGAAAAAAAATAAAAATGTACTTCACTGCACCGACTGGGCTAATGAAGAAATTTTGCCCGGACAGCGGCGTTAAGATCTAACTTTTTTCGAGTTCCAACTTTCAAGGGTTATTTTACATTCACGCCAATGTGTACACGGGATCTCGTATTTTTGTCCCATTCGAACGACTATACCCTGTTCCTTGCCACCACTCACAAATGAGAACCACACCGGAAAAGCCAGATGAACATTCTCAGCCAACGCAGGTATCGAACACAGGACCTCTGGGTTAGTGGGACAACGCCCTACTCACTAAGCCGCCAGCGTGGCCCCTAAGGGACATGGCCATTTGATTTCATATCCTTATCTTTATCGCCCTTAGACACATACTTTTAAACGTACATAATAACACCAGTCCTTCTATTTAAATGTTTTTGAAGTTTGACATTTTTGCACCGTTTTTGTTTTCTTGTACAGACCCGCTGAATCTTCGTGAATATATTTTTATACTTACACGTCATAATACCGACCTTTTTACATTGAAATAAAAAAGAATAAAATGCTGAACAGCAATTTTCTTATGAGGCGGAAGACTTAGTCGTGCGTGTATTGGCTAGAATCTGATGTATATGATTTTTAAACCATCGATGGGAATTCTATTATCACAATTCCAACATGGCTCGCTTCCTAGTACATATAATGTGCTTACGTATATTTATAGAATATTTTATGAAATTTGATAAACTTTAACAGCCATTTTAATAAAGGTTTCAAGTTGTTCGTATTCTGATTTCAAAATTATTTTTGCATATCCCTGTGGGACTACACATACATTCAAACTCTGTCGTATGTATTATTCCATACATTATGTTGTATGTGTTATTCTATACATTATGTTTTCTTCTATTTCAGGGGATTACAAGAGGTTGTCATTGTACTTTTCATTGAGGAGGAATATAGGATACTTTATCTTCCAGACGTATTTACCATCTATACTAATAGTCATGTTATCATGGGTGTCTTTTTGGATAAACCACGAGGCTACTTCCGCTAGGGTAGCTTTAGGTGAGTGTCCGGTTATATATTGAACCTGATACACGCCGGACACAATTCCATTGAATATTATTACTGATCGACTACGGAAGGCTACTTGAGAGACTAGAGAAGTCTAGTTGTTTATGACTGAGCGACGTTTGGGCTTTATAAAGACTAGAGAAGTCTAGTTGTGTATGATTGAACGACATTTGGACTTTATAAAGACTAGGAAAGTCTAGTTGTTTATGACTGAGCGACGTTTGGACTTTAAAAAGACTAGGAAAATTGTTTATGACTTAGCGACGTTTGGGCTTTATAAAGACTAGGGAAATTGTTTATGACTGAGCGACGTTTCGACTTGATAAAGACTAGGTAAATTGTTTATGACTGAGCGACGTTTTGACTTGATAAAGACTAGAGAAGTCTAGTTGTTTATGACTGGGTGACGTTTGGACTTTATAAATATTAGGGAAATTGTTTATGACTGGGCGATGTTTCGACTTGATAAAGACTACAGAAGTCTAGTTGAAACGTTGCTCCGTAATAAACAGTAATTATATTCAATAGAAGGTAAGTATTGTTTGCATACATTTAGAAATATGGTTTGTCGGCGATAGATTATCCACCAGTAGCACACACGTAGCAGATGAAACATCGGTGACAATCTATCAAGTACTATAATTTACTGTCTCCCAATGATTATTTGTCGTTGATAGAAATCGATGCACCATTATTCTCTTTGTAAAGTTATCAGTTCATTGGAAAGACTTTATCCACTGTGTTATATCGGATGGTTCAGAGCAAACGAGTACACGATTTAAAGTGGAATAATTCAAAAATCATTGCACCTATAACATTAACGTTTTACATGTTGTACAATATGTATGTTTGATAACTTCCCTCCAAATTGCCAAATTGTAGGTTCGTCGCTCAAATAGTGTCAAGATAGTATGAGTCAAATTATATTTTGCCTTCACATCACTGCTTTGTCTCTGTTAATAATAAAACTCAGGCCTCTATGGGTTACCTTATAGGTAGATGGACGATTCGGTCACATAATTTAAGGCATCAGAGGTTAAATAGGTGCTGACTGGTGTTCATAGGATTGTCTGCGATATCACGTATTGTGGAAGCAGTGGTTAAACACAAACCATCAAGCAAGCACCTTATAGGGGCTAACTGGTTAGGTTTGGGGTTAAAACCTTTGTGACCATGAAATAAAAGGAAATGGCATTGGACGTCCTGATTTTCTTCAAAGGTTCATCGCATTCCAACTTACAAAAGAAAACCACACAGGAAACTCCTGATCAGTGATCCAGCGCCTTACTCATTAAATCACCGTGGCTCCCCTTTCTTCCCATAACATCGTACATTCACCTTATCTTTAAACTAAACTAGCGGTTGACCCGGCGTAGCACGGGTATAGCCATGAACCGGAAGTAGCATAATTCCAAAACCGGAAGGGGTATGGCCATGAACCGGAAGTAACATAATTCCAAAAGCGGAAGGGGTAGTCCATCGTCACCAGAGGTATGTTACTCCCCGGTCCGAGCTACTCCTCCTATACACTAAATGTCAGCCTCGGGACAGCCCTAGTGTAGCCGCCAGCCTGTGAACAGACAAACGATAGATATATATATATTTTTTTATTTTTATTCAATCTTCAGGTATAACAACTGTATTAACGATGACAACTATCAGTAATGGTGTGAGATCATCGCTACCCAGAATATCTTATGTAAAGGCTATAGATATCTACCTTGTCATGTGTTTTGTATTTGTATTCGCTGCCTTGTTAGAGTACGCCGCCGTTAATTACACCTACTGGGGAGCTCGAGCTAAACGAAAGGCTAAACGATTAAGAGAACGAGCTAATTCAGTTCGTAAAGCAAGAGACGATGGGGAAACCATGGTAAGCTCGTTTTTTTAAATTAAATTTTATCTTCGTCAGACATGTATTTGTTTTATTTTTAAAATTTCAGTTACATTTCAATCGCGTGCTGTTGGCGCTCTCGATGAAAAATATCATGGACCAGCTCGGTGCGTTATTTGCATTGTCGCTAAAATATCAAATTCCTCACGGCTTAACACACGCTAAATGTGTACTCAATTTGATTATTGAATATTTAATTAAGAAAAGAAAACCAAGCACCCGGCTTTGATTTAATCGGATTTAAACTAGGACCATCAGGCTTCTCCGTTACCAATTAAAGATTATAGGTGAAGTTTCAATTTATCATAACTTTGTAGATACTGCACGGAATTGAACCTTTTTTGGACTGAAATTCATTTGATTTAATCGGATTTAAACTAGGACCATCAGGCTTCTCCGTTACCAATTAAAGATTATAGGTGAAGTTTCAATTTATCATAACTTTGTAGATACTGCACGGAATTGAACCTTTTTTAGACTGAAATTCATTTGATTTAATCGGATTTAAACTAGGACCATCAGGCTTCTCCGTTAACAACTAAAGATTATAGGTGAAGTTTCAATTTATCATAACTTTGTAGATACTGCACGGAATTGAACCTTTTTTGGGCTGAAATTCATTTTAGAGATTAAACTGTCAAAATAGTGCAGCTTGTAGGGTATTCCATTTCATTAACCCAGTCGGAGAAGAACAGTAGGGCGCTAAACCCCATTTCATTTTTAAATGACGCGCATCGAGCCTTTAAAGTAGTATTAATACAATGTCATCCAAGAGCAAACAAATGTGCAGCGTCTATGGCATTTAAAGTAGCTAAGTCTCTAACTCAATATCATCCAAAATCTTCAACATTGAAAACACGATTTATTTGTCAAATTAAATCAACATTTATGTTGTGATCTTACCGGAATAAGATGGGCTTTTGATATCCAATATTTAAGACAAAATAAACATTTTACCATTGGTACACGAATCGTGTACCATAATGCGCTTCAGCCCCAGTTGTAAAAAGAGACTCAAGGGCGTATGTAGACTGGAATAACCAGACGCTAGAAATTTGCACTCGATTGAGACTGCTGGCTTATTTCGCCGAACATAACTGATTTGAAATTGGAGTAAAAACGGAAACCATTTGAATGTAAATCAGTTTATATACATTCATATTACAGTATTATATGCGTAGCGACCCACTTTTGTCAATTTCTAGGTCCCAAATGTTAGCGATTTAGCTCCTTTAAGTTTTTGTTGAGTTGTAAATTGAAGTGATTCGTGAGATGAAGCAAAAGAGGGGTTTTTTTTATGGCCTGTCGACGAGATCATTTAAGAAACGTCTGCAGTAAATCAGATTGCACAACTTTGAAGAGCAATTGTAGTTTTTACTCCGAGGTTTAATAGCTGGTCGCGTTCACTCCCCCTTTTTCTTTATTCTTGTGAAGGAGTGCCTGACAAGGACAGCTGTCTAGTCGTTCGAATGGGACGAAAAACCGAGGTCCCGTGTATACATTGGCGTGCACGTAAAAAAAAATCCCTTGGCAGTTGGAATTCTGTATAAGAATAGGCCAGGGTGCCGCTGCCCTGGCAAAGTTTCTCTCATAACACACTTTATGGCGTATGCCCGTCCTCATTAGACCGGTCGGAGCAAAAAAGTGGGACGTTAAACCCCATTTCATTTCTTTTTTATTCTTCTTGCGAACAGCGCGGTTGTCACCGGGATCAACCGTCCATGACCGGAAACACCCGCAATTTGACCACGAACGCTCGAAACCACGGAATTGTTCTACACGTTCTCTCCTTCTTCTTATCTTCTTGCTAAAAGTTCGGTTGTCACCGGAATCAACCGTCCATGGCTGGAATCAGGCGTTCATAAAACCGCAGTTTGTGGAAACTGATTAAAAGTAATCAATCTAACCAGAGTAGTAATACCGACAAATAAACAGTTTTATGTGGTTACATTACAAAATACAATCCCACAAACTGATCTTATATCTTGGTCTTCAATACAATGTGATTGTAATTCTAGAGTAAATCTATTAACTCAAGATGCTCTAGTTCAATATTAACGTACCGGTATGCTGGCCTTGATCAATACGCTATACAATACATACCAATACCACAAGCTTACTTCTCAACTATCGAGCCCCCGAATCCAGAAATATATACTAAATAGAACTGATAGAACTTACTACCAGAATAGCACCAATACCCCCTATTAACAGCCTGTCATTACCTAGTATATAGAAATAAAAAAAAGGAATCAAAAATCGATTCTGGATCGAAGATTTCTTTTCTTTTTAAGCGATGTCCTCACAATTTCTCATTACGCATTGGGTCTTCTGTCTGGTCCATGACAATGGGAAGAGCTTGCGATAATACACGAGGTAGGAGGAATGTTCTACGTATGATATTTACTCTACCCACTCGGCATATCGAGTACGTTTTCTACAGTTGGAAATCAATCGTGATCTGAAAAGCGTGAAATATTGTCGACCGTCGCCATTGTCTAAAAGTAGGGGGAAGTAACTTGATTTTAATGAATTTAAAATTGTATTTTGTATTCCGTATAGAGTCTTCTTACCCTTCTTCAAATATTATCGTGTGTCGTGTTCAAAACAAGGATGTGTGTTACATATAGCATGATCGTTATCCATTCGGAATACAATCTATATACAGGGGGTACTCGATTGAACGTTCCGGAATTGAATTCCTTCAATTCCAAAAATAGTGACAATCGAGTGAAAAGGTGGATTTCGGGCTACAGCGCATGCGTCGACTGAATTAGTAAATATCTCAACCAATTGTGCAGCCGAAACCTTTTAATTACGTCACGATTCTACTCACACCACCTCCGTTGTTGGGACTGACAGAACTGTGACAGAACTGAATTCCGCGTTACTCGATTGCAATTCTGTCAATTCGGGACGTTCTGGACTGTGAATCGAGCATCCCCATAGTTTCATTTTGCAAACACGATGTATTTCTAGTTAGTACGTGGCGGGTCTGTAAATATATGAAACTGGTTCACGTTTGTTTGGCGGTTAATCTTGCACGCCTGATTTAAAGAACGCGGTTCTCACACGGTGTGATGTGGTACTCATACCAGTTTACCTTGGCAGAGTTATCCACTCCTAGATCTTAAATAAATATATTTGTAACAAAGATATCGCTTTCGTTAGCTTGATTTTCTTTTGTGCTATTACAAAAATACATTTGACAAGAGTCTTTACATTCCCGATTGATAATCGGCACAACTCATCCACGTCCTTTAAATGGAATCTAGATGCTGAATAACTCGGTCTACGGTGTCAGACCAGTAATGCCATTCCTTGTAGCTGATAACTCAGTACAGTTCTACCTAATTAGTGACTTTATCTGCAAAATGGTTTCACACAACGAATGACTATATTTTCTATTATGGTTCTACCGAACAAGAACGATATGTATACCTATGTCGTCCACCTATGCGCAATTAGCCAAGGAACAGTCATTCCAAGTGACTTGTCGAACGTACTTGGATTGTCGGAGCCTTAGTCCTTTTCAAAAAAACGTCACCCCCAATAAGAACAACAAAGTAGATGAGTAGATCTCGAGACACTGACTTTCTCTTTCCAAAAATATCCCAACACTCCCTCCATTTAATATGAGGCAATAATGTGTTTAAATAACACCTTCACCCCCCCCCACCACCAAGGTATTGCTCAATGGCGCTACTTTATTTGTATAGCATCAAAAGAGAAGACAACCAATACACAGCATTATTCCATTCTCAGTATACATATACAATGTTTATTAAAGCTGCATGCATTATGTACGATTTAGATAAAGAGTTGACAGTTCTCGCTATAACAGTTTAAAACAGATGATGAAAAAGTAATATGTTAAACATTGCAGTTAAATTACTTTATTCTGAGCGAAGTTGTCAATGTTTGAAGAGTAGTGTAGTCTCGATGTTTTCCCTTGCTAGCGTTGTTACGATGATATACAAATCTCTGGTTTGTTTTGTTTGAATGGCGATTGTGTTTCAATCCATTCAAAATCATGATCATCCGGTGTTCTAGAGGGTTAATTATGGGCTTATCATGTGAATAAATGTCTAATTAATAATCTATATAACATTAGAAGCGAAAATAAACAGACTTAATTAACTCTTACATGTAGCATCTTTAAAGAGGCAATTTCTAATCGTTAACTTTGGAATTATACTAAACTTGAAAACAGACACCAAACTATTTGACCGACATTTTTAGTCCTAAATCGACGATTTAAGTCGAGAACACTAAGTATACGTCGAGAATTTTATTAATTAGTTATTCTGCTTCCGTTTTATAAAATTAGTCTTTTTGTGTATAGCAGATGCAAAACAGTATAATAATTTTTGGATATGGAGGCTATTCAGGACAGAGATCTATTCTCGATGTATGAAGTAGATGGATCTCTGTGTGCAGAATGCAAGAAAAATTTGAATTTTAAAATACAATCCACATAGATCTATATATTTAAAATCGTATTATTTACAAAATCAATGAAGGTGATATTCGTCAGTGAGAGTCTGCCACACGAAAATATATGAAAATTGACTTGAATATGTTTTTCTATGAGACAAGTGGGTAATCAAGATATTATTCTATTCAACTTTATAGATTCCTAGAGTATATAAACCCATTGACGAACATAAAAACTATTACCAAGTGTCTGGAAATGTTTTACTAAAGATTCTCGATATTTTGATAAACATCTTGACGCTATGAAATGAGTTTATTAAGTTTCCTTAATCGAATCTAAATCTATATTTGATCAGGTAATGTTTGACTAGAGAATAGAGTTTAATGTCGGGCTACTCACTCATGATATTTCCATTCATTTCCGTCTCTTATAACGATAAACTGAAGATTTGTATACAAACTTGTCTGATCTTGTCAAATGCGTTCGAGGTGGTTTTTTGTAAGCTTGGTATCGAATTGACTTCATCTGAAATACTCGCTTCTTGCCCGTCTCAAATAACTGATCAAGTATGATGCAGTGTCCTTAGTTCATTCTTGAGATGTCGAAATAAGAGCGTTAAAATCAATGTTTTATAAGAAGTTTGATGACTTAGTTCAACGTGAAATGAACCGTCTTGGTTTGACAAAAATTGTCTAGTACGACTCGCTTAACTTTCAATTTACACGGCTCGACCACTGTCAAGATTATTTGGTAGAACATTAAGCGAATGAGCTGGCATTGTATCTTGATAAAACTTAAGTCTAAAAGGTTTTTATATAAAGATTGCTAGATAAAACCACATTCATGATAAAAAAAAAACTCAGTCCGTCTACTAGAGCTTTGAAAGGTTAGTCAATTAACTGAATGCGATTTTTAAAAAAAAAAAAAATCTGGGATTTGAAGACTGATGAGTTTTTTTTTCCTTTTGAGGGCGACTTTGATTATTCTCCACAGACAAAACTATCGTGCCTGGTTTCAGAGTCCTGTAATAAATGGTTATGTCGTATTATTGTGCTGCCCAGACAGCACTAAAAGAAAAGTCTGACTTTTTTGAACTGTTACTAGCATGAATATTTTCAGAATTTACCACAATGGTTTAATGATTTGCAAAGCGTTTACACTTGTCCAGCCATGGTACCTTCTACTCGTAAGGAGTGATAATTGCTCTTTTTACATGAAAATGTCCATTTTAAAGTATTTAGGATTTTGAATCAATGCGTTGGTATGATGAACCTTGTGTAGTATTTTCTCAAGTGAACTGACCCATTAATTTCGGGTACATTAGTGTCTATAACGGGTGTCTATAGTACTGTTACGAATGCATATGGCTCTAACGGGTGTCGGGTGTCGGGGTGGGGGGGGCAAATGGTTTAATACGTGCAATTTAGATCATAGAGTCTGTCTGTTAGTCCAGTGGCATGGTTTCGATATCACAAATGTACGTGGCAAGGCGTTGCGTCGCCTGTCTGTAACCTCATAACCTTGGTTGTGTCGATCGAGTGGAGGTTAACACCATGTATAGAATGATTATAGATATATGTGACACTATAATAGCATTACAAAGGCATATGGCTCAAACGCACAGTAAAAAAAGTAGCATCCAAAACTCTAAAAGTAATCCGAACGGTTAAGCATCCAATTTCCTGTATACTTAAATTGACTTCATTTAATTTTGATGTTATTGTATATTTGTAGCAAAACAACGCTTATGATACGATGGAAATGCGAGAAGTGCGCATGTCACCAATGCTGGGTATACGAAATAGTCAAAGTTTTAACATGGAGTTAGACGAAGGAAACCCAGAACCTCCTAATATCAGAATGGCGCCTGTGTTACCAAGGACATACGTTTCCCATGGTTACCTGCCTAGCAACATGTTGCGGCGTAGAAATAGCAACGGGATACCTAAACGGAAAAAACTTTTCTCAAATTTTAAGCAAAAAGCAAAATCTATTCGAGTGAAAATCCCGCGTGTGCAGGACGTCAACACTATTGATAAATATGCTAGACTGGTTTTCCCACTTTTATTTTTACTTTTTAATGGTGCCTATTGGGCGGTGTATCTCATGCAGTCATAGGATATTGTTGTTATTGATATAGATTGTTGTCAGCGTGAGAACAAACCGGAAGGGCCAGCTTGTTAAGATGGCTGTTAGTGACGTGTAAAACACAGTTATATCATTGGGAACATTGGTGTCGATGACGATAACATTTTACATTTCTAATTCAAGTGAAGACAATAATGGCAACTAATATATTATACAATGGACGACATGGCGATATCCTTTCAAGATTGAACCGATAGAACAACAAACTTGTGGTTTGGTCGTATTAGACGTTGTTATGGTAACCTGGCTACTACATCTTGTGTCGCCATATCAGTAATGGGGTGTTGTATTGATAGTGTAAAATGATAGCGAATGAAACCAAAGTGCAGAATCTTGACGTACTGTCTCCTAAAACTCATACAATTGACTACAAGATGTTGTTACCACAATGACATTGTGTTGTTACCACGGTTATAGTGTGTCGTTACCATGGTTACAGTGTGTTGTTACCCGGTTACAGTGTGTTGCTACCAAAATTACAGTGTGTTGTTACTAAGGTTATAGTGTGTTATTATCATGGACATAATGTCTCGTTACCAAGGAGACAATATTTTGTGACTATGGAAACAGCGTGTTGTTACCAAGGAGTTAGTAGATTTACTGCCACTAGGTTACCATTTATACATCGGTGTTACCATAGTAACACTCAATTGTTGTAAAGATGACACCCAGATTTGATCAAGGTGACAATAGCAGTAAGCAATCATCGTTACCAAGGCAACAGTGTCCAGTATATTGTTACTATGACAATTGATAACTATTAAATGTCTATTTCATTATATTTTATCTATTTCTCTGAGTAAAATTCCAGAATTATCAATTAGAAAATGAAAGTAGAACAATATAAGTCTGATTCGAACATTATAGATATCCTTTAATAATTATAAGGAGTAGATTATTTTTGCTATTATTTAGGTGTATTATAATATGATATAATGTCCCATGTATATTTTACTTTTAAAATCATGTTTCTATTAAAATAATCAACCGGATATTAAAGTCATTAAAGGAGAAGGGGTAAAGGGGCTGAAGGGACTCAGTTTCCTCTCATCTCCTGGGTATAAATGCCAATTCTCAAACGTAAGCTTACACCATTAAGATTTTTTGGGGTAAAATCTAAATATATTTCATTGTATTGTTGTAATCTTCTGTATTATGCAATTTAATATGAACTTGTAAAATAAGCTGAAAGTATGACTGTATATCATGCCGAGCGCGCCTGTTACGAGACTGCTTGAGTTTTCAATGTCGCATTAGCCAAATGGATTTTGAGTTTTCAATGTCGCATTAGCCAAATGGATTTTGAGCATATTTATGCTTTTTCAATATTGTTTTAATTCCGCACCACTTCAGATAGAATGGCATCACTACACGGTTTAGTGCTTTAGATATTACTTGACGGATTTACATCCATTGTGTGTATCGAATTTGTACAGGAAGTGAAGTAGGCAGTTCATCCTGGAAATTTATAAGATGATCTTATACTCTGTCAAATCGTCTGACGAGGAACAATGTTTGTTTTTTTAGAAGATCAACTAAGAACATTTTTTTTTTTGTTTGGGCTTGTTTAAAACTCGCCAAAATTTTAACCGCTGTATCGGAAGAACTAAAATTGCAAATTGTATGGCCTTGGAATATTGTTTTCTATCCGGAAAAGGGGACTAGTTAACAATTCGACAGGTCCCATGAAACAGTAAATTCAATTAGGTAAAACGAATCTGATTATTTCTGATAATTTTTTCCTCGGTCACTTGTTAGTGTCTTGCAAATAAAATACGTTATCTACATGTGCTCGGACGTGTGTTTCGTTGCATGGGAACCTATCGTTAGCTACATGTACTGCTCGAGTGTGGGCGTGTGTCTCGTTGCCTGGAAACCCGTCGTCCGCTACAGGTAATGCTCCGATGTGGGTGTGTGTCTCGTTGCCTGGAAACCTATCGTCCGCTACAGGTAATGCTCCGATGTGGGAGTGTGTTTCCTTGTCTGGAAACCTATCGTTTACATAGGGGTAAACTCCTCTGGACAACAATATGGCAACTAGATTTTCATCTGACGCCACATTTGTTTTAAATGTCTGTAAATATTGAAGTGTTATCCTTTCGTTTTTGATATATTGTGAATAAAGATTAAGGGTGAGATCTTCTTGACATATTTCTCATTAAATTTAGATTTAGCTTTTCCCAATTTTGGACAAGTTCGCCTTGATGCGGGTTAGTATTGTCTATTTTAGCCATTATTTAAAGAGATCATTCGATCGAACCGTTTGTACACTGTACATAACAATCCAGAAGATGTTCACATTTGGAGTTTTATTAGTGCACTGAAAGGTCATAATATATAGATCTTAGATTTTTTTCTTTAATGATTCAGGTTTGCAGTTAGAGGTGTTTATATATAGTAGGGCTCACGATTCAGCTTATCATATGATTCGGGCATTTCATTAAAGCCGCTTTTGATCATTTGAAGGATTTTTGATTCCCTCGAAAACTACGATATTGTAAACGTTCAATTTCTAATATCCCTAATAAGGCAATAACCATTAATTGTTAATTTCATCATTAAATAACATATCAAATACAAAATCAATAGAAGCATTTAATTTCTTGTAAAACAAACCCTGTAAATTCTGAAGTTTTATTAAAATTTGTAAGTTCAACCATTTGGTTTCATATAGCGAACAAACAAACAAAATCTTTCTCTTTTAATTGATTGTATTCCATATAAATAGTCTTTGTGTTTCTAATCAGGACCATCTAGTCCTTCGGGTGGGAGAAAAAATCGAGTTCCCGTGTACACATTTGCATGCACGTAAAAGATCTCTTGGCAGTTGGAATTCGATATAATTCCCTCCTAGCACACTGCATGGCGCATGTCCGTCTTCGTTAACCCAGTCGGAGCAGAACAGTAGGACGTTAAACACCATTTCATTTCATTTCATTTTGAACCCCTATGCTGTAGTGGACCCCGTGCAATGGCTCAGCGTGCGCACGCGTTAAAACAGCCGTGTTTCTAATGTGGACCCAATCCTACACTCTCAAGGCTTATTTTCTATAAATTATAAATCATTTTTAGATAAGAGACAGCATGTGTTAAACTTTAAAATTTTCTGTTATAATTAGTTCTCACTGAAGTAAAATTGTAATGGGGGGGGGGCATAATTCCGCTGAGAGACATGTTTAGAAATGCCATCATTGTATAGATTGCATGCATGAAAGTCTGTATGACAGAGACCATAAAATTGTTCAAGCATGACCAGGTAACGTTAGATCGATGTACATAAACTTTTAATCTAAACAATTCTTATCGTTATGTATATGTGTATATATTTATAAATATTGTATATACAATATGATTATGTTAAGTAAATGATCAATGTTTAAATTCAATCTGAATTTTTATTAACTGAAGTGGGGTTCAGTCAACTATGACATCCGTGGGGTTTGTCTCAAGTATAAATCTCATGATTGTTACACTGTGCGACTTAACCGCCAGACATACACGTCATTATTGTTAACAATGACGTCATAGTGACCACTATGGCTGATCTGGTCGTGGACGTTTTGATTGGCTGTGGAATGTGGAATGAAACCAGTCTTACGAGACGAAATCTACCTTCGGGTTTGACAGATGACCCCACGGACAAATTGCATAGTCTAAACTCCTCTTTAGGCTTTTTATTAACTGAATGGTGGTTTCTTACACTTTAACTTAGAACATTGTGCACTTGTTTGTTATCAACTAATTCAAGTAAAAATATAAACATATTATGTTACCACGTCAACGTCTCAAGTGAAGCGTGGCACTGGATGTTCAGGAAAGAGGGGCCATACGACAGATGTACAGGAGATTTCTAGAATAAATGAGGACAATTTAATATCTCATCTGTATGAGTAAAGTCTGTGTGATATATTACTGTTACACGGGGTGCTTACCTCGTTAAATCTGGAAATAAAATAGCGAACGAAATGTTTCATGAATTTTTGAAATAATGTGCTTCAGTATTTTTCTATGACTTAAATGCCGTTTATAAATTCTGGAACAAGACATTTATTCACTCGGTCTATTTACCTGTTTCCTGTAGCGTACCCCCCCCCCCCCCCCGCCAACAACCAACACACACACACCCTCCTTAAAGAAATCGCCTTCTTGTAAAAGCTAATACTATTTACCCGAGCCCAGTAGCTTACCCCCACCTCCAAACCCAATCCCAATCGAGCCCCTGTAGCATACCTCCGCACCCCCGCCCCCTCACCAACTCATTCTTAATGAAATTGTCCGCTTACACAAACCCCAACCCCCAAACAGAACTCGTCTTCTTGTAAGAAAAAAAATATTCTTCACTAATAATACTATGTAGCCAATCTCTCCGTCAGCTGGCCTATTTATATTACTATTGTATTTGTAATGACTAGTTCTGGCATTTATTATTTCGTCAACCGACAGCATGACAAATAAAATCGAATTATAAATCATACAGAACAGTAAAATCAGACAAGTGATAAATAAAACTCAACATAATCTAGACTAATAATTCAAACTTATGTAGTTCTGTAATTTGTGCAAGCACATCTGACAAATGTTACGATAGAATTATGTTTTAAATATAGTTTTGAAGTTCTTGACTAATGTCGTTAAGCTCGGGGGTTTTCAAACTAATGTAGTTATGTTATACATGCACGAATGTCTTAACAAATGTTATAACAAAATTATATTTTGGACTATTTGTTTGTAGATTAGATATAAGTTTGAATTAAATGTAATAATACTCTATGGATACACCAATTTGATTTCTGTTCTTCTGGAACACCTGTCAAAACTTTAATTCTTCATGAAAAAAAAATAATTTAAAAACAGAGAGTACTGGGTTGCATTATTTAAAAGGTATTAGTTCCCAAGTTTTAAATTTTGAAATTTTAAACAAAACGTCTTTTACGAGATTCGAGTGACCTTTTATTTATCAAGACACCGAAGAACAGAAAATCAAATAATTTTTGCCTAATTTTTTGCTGCCTTGTGGTCGAGTTAATTATAACAATATATACTGACGTACATCAGAAAAAAGACTGGGAGACGATTGAATAAAAAAAAACCCCAAAAACATCAAACTGAATCAGAAATAAAAATGGGGTTTAATGTCCAGGTCCCGGTTTCAGAAAACATTCTCAGTCTTAAGAATTTACTCAAAATTGTTCGCCTTATTTTAACTAAAATATAACTCTTTTTAAAACTTTTTTGTTTTAATGTATCAAATACACCAATAAGAAACTATGTGCAAATTTTGGCGTTTCTGGAACAAAGGTATAATATTCATAAACAGTGATTGAAAGTTGAGTAAATTCTTAACTCAAGTCTGAGAATGCTTTGTGAAACCGAGACCTATTCTGTACCATCTAGGTAATGTTGTCGATCATGCACCCTGTAGTGTGCTGCGAGGAAGTCTTTGCCCAGACAGCGGCGATACTGTCTACTTTTATTTAGATTTCAAACTGCCAGGGGATCTTTAACGTCCCGCCAATGGTATACAAAGGGTTGTGGTTTTTCGTCCCATCCGACTAGACGATTTCCTACAAAGCCCACCGTCTTGCATAATTGACAAGGGAAAACCAAGCGGGGAAATCCCGAGGAAAACTTTCTCAGCTAAAACCTGGGATCAAACAAAATACGTCCTGCTTACCGAGCAAGCCTCATATCCACTGGTCTCCGCTTCCCCGATCCCCGACAAACGGAACCTCTGAACTAGAACAGGTTGTATGTCATCGGTTACAACGATTATGTTTACCCCCATCCGTTTCATTATCCAAATTAGAAAGTGATTTTAGTGCAACTTAATTTGTGTATTGTCTTGTGTACGTCAGTATAGATAATTGTGTATATAGATATATAAAGATTGTACAGTTTTATTACTACACACCATGATCACCCATTTAATATATATATATATAAATATATCTACTCCTCGTCATGTACATTATCATTAAAATATTAATAAAGATTTTATATCTGTATTGAATAACTCTCTTTATTTTACTTGTGTATGGACTTGTAGATTGAGATGACGGTGGATGAACATACTCCCCGCAGTGTTTCCTTTGCATAGACCTATACTAATCCCACTCAAGCACTGCCGTAAAGAAAGCAAATTTCTGTTCCAAATTATGACTGGTCAATAGTCCGATTAACAAACAAAACCTAACTGCGTAACAATATCATTCGGGTTTAAACATACCTCCAAATATGTTTACATAACGTTACGTCACGACTCGCGAATATTGCAGAAAAACTAATTGCATGAAAAACGAGGCTATCAAAAACGGCTATAATGTAAACAATATTGTTTGGAGACGAACAATACTTTTACCAGATTAAACGAAGGACTGTCATGTTGCTGTACTTAAAGATAGATTTGATTAAACGGGAAGAATAGACACACTTCCTCAAAAACTCAAGTATCAGAAGTCAATTCAGCAATGGCCAGAGAGGGATGGGTATTTGAAAATTTTAAAGATGTATTATGTAAGATTTAGATAAAAAGTTGGTCGTTCTTGCTATCATAGTTCAAAAATAGACAATGAAAAATGAAAATATTGGAAGTTTTGTAGCGTACCAACGTTAATTGACAATCGAGATTGAGTCTTGATGATCCATTTTATCATTAAATTTTTCAATCTCGAGGGTGTTCAAATCCATTTAAATCTCAACCATCTGATGGTCTAGAGTGTGGATTATAGGCTTGTCATGTGAATAAATAATAATGGAGCCAACGTAAAGATTTAGCTCTTACATAATGTATCTTTAAATGTTAAATAATCAGTAGCATGGGGAAATGCAAATGACCCACAGCGACTTTAAGGTTCCACTTAACCATCCTGAAATGAGGTAAATGGCTAAATGGTGTAGATGAAACTATGTTTTCGGTTTCTTTTCACTGCTAAAGATGTATTCGAGCGCCCAGTGTAATATAATAAAGCATATACGGTATCTGCTTCAAACATACAACGAACATTAGTCTAGACACAATATCAGACATTGCGTATATGGTAACGGACGTTGCGGATACAATTCACTTAATGGTTTATAAGGGGAAAAATTGTTTAAAAGCATCGGTTTCTCATATAATCTTCCTATTTCAAATACAAGGTGCTAGAATCTCTATATAACCATCAAAACCATTCACATATTATGGAATAATGCAGGTAAAGCAACTGTTATATGCCATCCATAAAACTATTCCTGGATTAACCACTGATCCGATAAACCATAGTGCAAATAAAGCAGCTAAACCAAGGCCTACATATAGGCTTGATGGACCGTCTTCAGTACCACAGTCGGAGCAGATGGGGATGGGGAGGGGCCCTGTCATGACCCTGTCATGAGTCTGTCATGTGCGTACTGCCGTCTTAAACATCTGTCATCATATTCCTGAGCGAGGGGGGTTGACAGAGGCCTCATACGTGGAATAGACTAGGGCCTCTCTTCATCTAAAACCGGCCATGACCACAATCCATGAATAAGATATATTGAGATTGGTGTGAATATAAATTCAGTTTAATATCATACTTTATGGGCGACGAGCATACGCTATGAACTGATTTATGGGGGTAATTTTGCCTGTACAGTGACGTTTCCATTTGCCAAAGTTTCTTTAACATGCGCGCTAACGAATACACGGACGGACCTCTGTGTTTCGTCCCACAAAAACGACAAAGGTAAGTCAGATGGGAAACGCTTAAGGATATTTCCCAGCCAGCACCACACTCTTCAATGTGAACCTTGTAATTAAGTTTGTAGAGAGAGAGAGAGAGAGAGAGAGAGAGAAATGGGGTTTAACGTTCACTCGACACAAACTAGGTCATTTCGGGACTAACATATGGTTTAATTAGCAGTGGGAGGAAGCCGGAGGACCCGGAGAAAACCCACGGGGTTGGACAGGCGACCCTACTCCTTGTCACGTACAACCGGGGAATCGAAACCCCGCCAGTTGACTCAATGACAGACCGTATGATACAGCGCAGCGCGCACGTGCTAACCATTCGGCCATTCAACCCCCCCAATTAAGTTTGTAATCAAGTTTTTAGGTTGAATATTTGTGGAACAACAATCGACGTTATTGTGTGCACAACACGTGATACAGAATTAATCAAAAGAAAACAACACTGACATCCGACTAAATTATGATTTTGTCCATTAATACATCAAGTTAGTCATCTAAATCACACTTCCTATCAGGGCAATATAAACAGACCGGACGTTCCCATCACGACACGGTGTCTAGTTTTATTATTAAACGGAAGTGTATAGTGCCGCTCCTAATTCACCTTGATATTAGTACCCAGATACTGAAGTGGTGTCTTTACCGCATTAATAAGTTGAGTCTACGGTGTAATTCTATTTAGTAATTTATGCGAAAGTGCAGGAGGCGAATATAATATGTTTTATTTGTCTTCTCCATTGTCAGTATATTAGCTATGGTATGAGTTTATTTTAAAACGCAAATTAAATTGTTTATGAAATATTGCGACAATAACAGGGCATTGGAGCCCAAGGCCAAGGATAAATTCTATTGTATATTACACTCATGTGAGGAATATTTCATTCCATATCTGACTTAGCATTAGGCTTAGTAACCGATCATCATAATTAATTACTTAATATTTGACCAATTAAATAATAGATAGCAAAAATTAAGACATATAAAAATACTCGAGATGTGCGCGATTTTAGATAACCATGTAGAAATTCGTTGAGGTTCAAATGGTAACATCTGGGTTGAGAGATAGAGAGAACGACTTTATTTTGGTCTATGTTTGTAATCGATGTATCCAGCTTGATATAAAACTGTAGAAACCGTACTTTTGTTCTTGTCATCGTGTTTGTTAATCATACGATATTTTGGGACTGATAATGTGGGATGTCAGAGTGAAGTTTAAAGATACTTCTTAACGGTGGAGATAAAAATATATACACAACGTGAGTCATAAGAGAAATTACCAGTACAAGCGACAATACTAGACGATCACAAGGCTAATAAAATATATAGGAGCGGAGAGAGTATGCCTCGCACGTTGGATGTGGGGAGTTTTTGACAGTTGGGCTACACCTGGTATTTCATGTTTTGGAAAGAGTAATTGATGTGGTAATATTTCACACAGAGATAATAAATCCACGTTTAGATTTCCGCGAATCAATCTTATACCGGAGACGATGTTTCTAATGCAGTGTTGGTTCATCGTTCTTTTGCAGATTTTATACAAACATGCAACTGTCTTTTACCAACACCGGACATCAAAGTCAATAGGAGCAAATGTTTATTTTTAGTATTCATTTAGATCAAATGATGTTATTCGAGTCTTAAAGTCGGATTATTTCAGAATGTTGTTTAAAGAAGTATAATGGATATATGTACACGTTATTAAAGTTCATATCCTGCACGCCCAACAATATTAGTTTTACAAATGTATTTTTGGTTTTAGATTAATAGAAGATAAATACTAATTGCGTGTCATCATACAAAAAACTGAAAATGATGTCCGTCCTGAATAGAGTTTGATATCTATCTATTACTCAAGCGGGGGTTGCGTGGTCGAATGGAAATGAAATGAAAAGTGATTTAACGTCCGACTTTTCTGAACTGACTGTGCTAAGAATGACGCGGTGGACGAATGGTCTAAGGCGTGCGAGTTAGATCATTAGGTCTGTTATCGAGTTAAGTGACATGGTTTCCAATACCGCTTGTACGTGACAAGGGGTAGGGTCGCCTACCCAACCTCGTGGGTTTTCAGCGGGTCCTCCGGTTTCCTCATATTGCTAAAGACCCATACGAGCAAGCGAATTAATAACAAAAATAGAACCATATGCTAGTCCCAAAATGATCTAGTTTGTGTCGAGTGGACCGTTAAACCACACCTCTTTCTCTCTGTACTAGTGGTAGAAGTAGTAGGGGAGGGTTTAACGTCCGCTTCTACCTAGTGGGATATATGTTGACTACATCCCTATCTTATTATGGGCCAAACTATTTGAACACATTTTAGAGAGGATTAAGTCATGCAAAATTGCAAATGGCGTGCATAGACTTTAACATAAATTATAATACAAATGTTTATGTTTTAAGGTTATAATACATGTATAAATGCAAAGAAAATTCAAATTTGTTGTGAAAGTGATAATGCGTGTACAAATGATTTTTAAGGTACAGATAGATGCAATCAAAAATTCAAAATTTTTTTGTGAAAGAAATATGTGTGTACAAATGAAATGGGGTTTAACGTCCTACTGTTTTACACTGACTGCACCAATGAAGACGAACATACGCCATACAGTGTGCCACGAGGGAATTTTGCCCGGACAGCGCCGCTGCGGCCTATTCTTATATCGAATTCCAACACGGGACCTCGGTTTTTCGTCCCAACCGAACGACTATACGTTGTCCCTTGCCAGGACCTCAGTCCAAAAGTGATATCCGTGTACAAACTGACATCCATGTATCACTGGTGTGAATCCAACAGTTTGACAAACAAGCGGCTGTATATATAGTTCACATCACAATTTGAACCCTGGATTGTTCTTGACAGCTCTCTTACGATACTATCAAAAAAATCATTTAAGTGAAACCCCAGGGGAGAAATGAAATGGTCAATTAAATGGAGGACTCATCATTTTACAACTATTAGAGATAATTTTTATAGGACTTCTTCAATTATTATAAAAAAGATCTGTCTAGTCGATTAATCATCTGATAATAACAATTCAATGGGTTTTTTTTTTAATTCTAGATTGGCGTCTAGGACAATTATTGCAAGGTCATTGGAAGTTTTATAACATTTGGGCGAACACAAATTCCTGCTTCTAGGATTCATGCAAAACATTTTAAAATTTCAAAATTAAAATGATATCAATGAAATAGTTTATGGTATGTCAAGGGTGCCGGACGAAGGCTCGGGTGAGAACAATGTATAATTTTTCGGATAGGACGAAAAACTGGGGTCTCATGTAGACTATACGTTGACGTCGGACTACACGTAGGATCCAGTAGCAGTTGGAATTCGAAATATGAAAAGACCGTAGCACCTCTATCTGGGCAAAATATCCCTCACAGCACACTGCATAGTGTATGTCCTTCTTCATTCGCCGGTTGGTGCAGGAAAGTGGAACGTTTAACCCTATTTCATTTCATATCATAGTGAACATTAGTATTTGTCTTCTTTCTTTTCACAGAAAAACATCCGCTTTATTATCCGGATATTCGTTCCTTTAATAAAATTCTTTTTTTGTCGACCTATGTTATTTAATTCTTTTGTGTCGAGGACTCGGTGCTCGCGGGTCGTCTACTGTCCGCCCTGGAGTTGTTCACCATTTAGATCTTCAGCAGTAGCTATACAAATTAATGGATATTATTTGAAATGCGCGGTTATTAGAATGAAAGATCGAAAATGGCACGAGATGGAATTCTTTTCTCTCCGTCATTCTTTGATTGCCCCTTGTATTAATTGGTGTCCCTGGTCGCACAAAATTTGTTTTATTCAGTTGATAAAAACGAGACAAATAAAAACTGACGAATGATTTTGAACATTTCTTCTAGTTGCATTCGGATTACATAATTGTCATTGATTATTGTTGGTAAAGCAATTTATCTCCATTGGTCGTATTTGTAAAGAAACGTAAATTGTTGGAGGCTAAGTCCCAGGGTAGGTGTTTACTAAAGAAAATAGAGTTGTTGAGGTGGAATCACTTCTCCTCTTCTCCCTGTGGTGGTTTGTCTTCCTACTTGTACAAGCACTTGTATTCGATCCGTTTCTTTTCATTGCCATTCCAAGATTTAGATAAAGAAACAGACCAAGTGAAAGAAAAGCACCGACAATTGAACGTTGATTCGTGGCCTCAGGTGTAAGTTTGTACTGGGATTGATCGGGTCTTAGCTCTTCAATATATACGTGAAACGTATCTAGGCCTTTCCCGCCAAAACACTTCCCTGGATTTTGTGACTAATAGTAACCATAAAAAGTATTTTGGAAAATGAATTGTCGATTTTTGTTTTTTTTTTGTTGTTTTTGCTTTTTAAATTTCAGATTTCAAGGCGTGAATTTATATCCCTACTGTGATTGGTCGGTGAGTTATTATTCCAATTCGCGCATGTTTGCTGTCGACCAATCGCGATAGAGACCTTACGTCCAATACCTGGCCAACCTTTCTCGAGTGTTGTACGGATTCTGATAACAGGTACCAAGGCATGTGCGTTGTTTACATCGGACGTAACTAATACAAATTCGTGCCTTTTGCTCATTCTAAGCCTCAGCGTACTATTGTATGTCACTAAATAGAAAATATTTTTATCCAGATATACTTCAAACACCTTTATTGTTTTTCTTGATAATTTAAAAAAAATGTTTTAGAATTTAATTTGCAGACGAAAAAAACTATTATTAAGAGCTAATCAACCTGCCCCGATGTCATGCCTAGTTAAAGATTCGAAACCCGGGGCTTTAAGCTTTGTGGGCTAGTGCCTTACTCACGTAACTATCGTGGCTTCCTAATCGAAAAGAGAGAAATGAACTTATCAGAAAAATAGTTATCTGGATAGGTCTTATATAGAGATGACTAATAATAATTCCACATATAGTAACATACATAGTCAAATCACGTTCTTTAAATTAATGGTCGACCATCATCAACCCTAACTACCTTATTACTGTCCACGACTTCAGTTAGTCTCCTCTGACCAACAAAACAATCCACAGGACAGTTAAGCCACGAAGACATACAAAAATAACAAACCTAACACGAACCGTCCTCACTTCATTTCTATAATTCCCTTATTGCTTTTTATTCATATCCTAATTTGGACAAAAGTGTCCGAATTGGTTTAGTAATTGGATAGATTTTACTTTCTATAGTTCGCTGCCTACCGTGTCATAAGGTTTGTCTGAGAATCGTAAGTCTTGTTGAAGACATCACGTAGATCAACACCCTGTCCATGTTAGAGCGATAATAAACATTGGTAATTTTCAATTAACGAATATCTTATTTAATCAGAGATATGATTGACTTTGATTAATTTCCATTTGTATCTCATTGTATATAATCCAGCTCCTGTGTAGATATAGGTAATTAAATTTACCGAAAGACTGTGGACAAATAGGCGTGTGATATGATCCCAGGGAGCCATGGTGGAAAATTAAGTAAGACGCTGGTTCGCTCACGGTGTTGGCCGAGAAAGTTCATCGGGATTTTCCGACGTTTTTTTCCCTTGACAGAGGCGTAGGACGGAGCACCTGACAAGGACAACTGTCTACTCGTTCGGATAGGACGAAAAATCGAGGTCCCGTGTACATATTGGCGTGCACGTAAAATATCCATCGGCAGTTGGAATTAGATATAAGAGTAGGCCGTAGCGTCACTGTCCGGGCAAAATTTCCCTCATAACACACTGTATGGCGCATGTTCGTCTGCATTAGCCCATTCGGAGCAGAAGAGTGGGGCGTTAAACCCCATTTCATTTTCACTTCCTGTCTGCATCAACCAGGATAATAAACATAATATGCGAAGAGCCCAATAAGGTTTAGGGGGACATAAATCCGGGTGTCAGAGACCGCCGAAGGCTTGAAGGATGATGGTATCAGGGGTGGGTGTGTTATGGTGGACCTCGATCCGAATTATTTTTTCAACAAGAGAACAGCAACTTGCCCCACAAAATCCTACTCTATGACCACCTCAATTTCAATCGAACAATCAAGCAGTCTATTTCACTTCCCGAAAAATTGATGAACCAAATAATGATGATGCCCTTAAAAATGTCGCGGTTTAAGCAGAGTGACTACTCACAAGTAACGCTGGACAATGTTTATTACGCTGATTTTGAATTTGTATCCATTACTCAATTTACAGAATTTCGGTTCTCGAAAAATTGATGGATGTCAGAAAACAATGAATTGGGGTGGCTCTAGACCAAAACGTCATCAGATCTCGGGCACTATTTGACCGGATAATTGATAAAACAAAACAAAAATATGATGATGCCTGAAAAAATTGTCACGCATCAGAGAGGGGCCGGGGGGGGGGGCTGCCCAGCCTATGCTAATGAAGATGAGCGTTCGCTTTGCAATGTGATATGAGTTAAAGTATGACCAGATAGCAGCGTTACAACCTATTCTTCTTCCAAACTACAGTGTTCCTGTATGACGTCAGGTTTTCATTTCATGCGAAAGTCTAGACGTTGCGCCTCGCCAGGACCTCCGTCCCGCATCCCTGCCGCGGGAAAATCTCGAAGAACTTTCTAGGCCAAGTTTTTCCACTAGTCTATTCTGGATTAAATTCCGCTGTTCGCATTAATTGACGAAAATTGAGTTGACCTTAACAAATAGATTTAGTCGGTTCCGCGCACAACCTGTGCAGCGCCGGGCCATCTTTACCTATTATTATCAGTATAAAATGGTTTATTCCATTCAATATTTACAAAGAAATGATGAATGGAAAGTTATCCAATATTCGGCATGCACTGCAGACGATATAGACAAGACAGCGCTTTGTTTTTAATCCGACTGAATCCAACCCGGGAGATTATTTACCGATAGTTATTTTGTGTTCTTGAATAAATAGTCACTATGGGTACGATCGAGTTTAAACATTAGAGCCAGCTGCAGATTTCGTCAAGGTCGCGAGATGTAAACAGGGCTAGGGCACGTGATTGTTGACTAGATTGTGGGTTAGGGCTAGGTAAAGGATTAGCGCCAGCCCTGTTTATATCTCTTGACCTTAATTTTTTAGACCTAACCCACAGGAGTACATGTTAGCGTGGATACAAATTGTGAAAAATGCAAATGGCGATCAGCGGCTTTAAAGAAGAAATGAAATGGGGTTGAACGTCCTACTGTTCTGCAACAAACGGGCTAATGAAGACGGGCATACGCAATACAGTGTACTAGGGTTCTTAAGTGCAAGACGTGTACACGGGGTCTCGGATTTCCGTTCCACCCGAACGACTATACGTTGTCCCCTACCAGGCCTTCCATCCTACACCACTGACAAGGGGCAACCACGCCGAAAATCTCGAATTTAAAGCCTATAAGGATCCGGTAAATCTTTAACTTGGATTCAGTCGGAAAACACCATTTGTTACCCTTTAACCCGTGAAAATTATAAAACCAAAAACTAGGGAATACTTGTAGAAATATTTTATTATAATTAAATTTGTGAGATATATGATCAATATAACGTGTAAAATTATATATAATATGTTCAGTATAATGTGTCACTATGTTCAGTATAACCATCATATATTATGTTCAACATAATAATATGCAATTCAATGATAACAATAGCATAATCATTAATATGGGGCGCGCAGCTTAACAACACCTAATTGGGCGTAAACACCGTTTTTATTTTTATTGGAATTTATTAAAACATTCAATTTTATCACCCGGCCTACACGGCTGGATCTTGTTTTGTTTTTGTCCAAGTCGAATAACCAGACGTCTTTACAATGCAAGGCCACTGACAAATGGGAAACAAGCCTAGAAGATACCGAGGAGCTTTCTCGGCCAAAATGGAATCAACCCCAGAACGACAATTTTAGTGAGCCAGCGCCTTAGTCACTGAGTAGGAAATTATAATGGTTCTGTCCAATAAAAAAAAACAAGTTATGAGATAATAAATATGAAATATTATTTAAAACTAATGTAAACAGTAGGAAATCGGTTTAATGGAATGTCTTACATTTAAACTACGTGCTATATTGGTCTTTGTGATATTGTTTAATACATAAGATTTATTATATAAAAAAAGAAGAAAAGACAAAGAAACAGATCATGACAGTAACAATAATTTGTGCATGTGAAATATTTTGTGATTTTTTATTGTGCCTGTCTTCGATGAGGGCATGCCAATTTCAATTTTTTCTTCCTGAAGCCTTATTAAATAATTTTTTTTATATGTTTCCAAGAAATATATATAAAAAATATTTAATAAGGCTTCAGGAAGAACAAATTGAAATTGGCATGCCCTTGGAAACATATTTTTAAAGAAAATATACATAATAGGTCTCTAATTCTTTACTCCATATCCATTGGACAAATAATATTTATAAAAAAATTGTGAAGAACTGAAAATTAAATCAGGTTGGCCTGAGATATGTGTCCAATTATGTGACTTCAGTTCATCCATATGTAAAGGTATGATTTATAACAATAATAATAATTGTAATAACACAATAATTGATGTATGTTTTATAAAAGTTTGATCTATGTAACACAATTGATGTATCTATAATAATAATAATAATAATAAGACAATAAATAAATATATGTTTTTGATTCTTACAAAAGAATAGAAGGTAAACATGAGTATTTTATGCATGACTTACTATATACATGTAAATATTATACAAATTGACAGTATTATAAATATAAGTGAAATGTACAATTTTTAACAAAACATGAACATACCTGTACTAACTACAAATGATACCATTTCTGTTTGTCAGAGTTTATAATAATAATAATAATTATGAAATCTTTACATAGGCCTACAAGTCAGCCAATTTTATATATATTTTTTTGGGGGGGAGTTGTTAACAGTTAGATTAATTTTTTCAAATTTAATAAGAAAAGAAAGTATCACTAATCCCTGCCGTGGGCTGAATATAACAAGGGGGATAACTCCATACACAAATCACAAATTTTTATCAAGATGCCATTTGCAAAAACAAAGTATGACTTCAAATCTCATAGAAAAACAAATTCACATTCAGACAATATCATACAGCTGAAGTGTTCCATTGAAATACTTTTTTCACATGTACCTCATCACCCATCTTCATTCTGGTCTCACAGACCGTATAAACATAATCTCATCACACCACACTGGTCTCCCAGATACACACATGTAACACCTTGTCTCTCATCACCCCACACTTGTCTCAAGACCGTATATATACATGTAATGCCTTGTCTCTTATCACCCCACCCTGATAAAGCAGATGGTACACACATGTAACACCTTGTCTCTCATCACCCCACACTGGTCTCAAGAGGTATATATACATGTAATATACATGTCTCTTATCACCCCACCCTGATCAAACAAACGGTACATATATCTAACATGTAATATCATACCAATCATAGGTAATTCACCATACAAACACTTGATTATCAGCTTATCTATAAGCTTGATGGGTTGAATTAAACAAGACTAGTATTAGCATATGATTGATTGAAATTTGAATTTATTTGAATATTTTCAACCAATCAGACAGTTTCAACCCACCTTCTGGGATAAATGGCAGCATTATGACAATCTGGGCCTTATTCTGACCTTTACATTGGTTGAAATTTAAGTTTTTATTTTTTCAACCAATCCTACAGCTTCAACCCACTTTCTGGGATAAGTGGCAGCATTATGATGATCCAGACTTTATTCTGAACTTGACGATATATATCTAGAAAACTACCAAGACAAATCTGGGCATGAGTTTGGATATTTTCATTCTTTCAAGAACACCTGATATCACTTCTCATTTGGTTCAAAATAAATTCAAAACAGTCAACAATTCCTGTATTCAGACCTTTCTACATATAATAGAAGAAACGTTTCTATCATATGAGATGACAAGATGACGTCCATGGTGATTTAAAATGATTTGATGAGTATTATATAACGACACACTGTGAGATATAAACATGTACTTCTTGTGCTGGATGTGCGTAAAAACTATGATTAAGTACGTAAAAAATATATGTTCTTTAGGCCACTTGAATTCTTGCTGACTTCTCCAGGTAGTTGACTACCCAAAATCTAAAACAAAACAATCTGAAATAAAACAAAATCATAATCACTTACACAAACAGGTCATTTCAATTGACAATCTGATTAAAACACAGATCTTATTTCATTTCGTTTTAATAGTTCAAAATTTCGTTTAACTTGTCTTTACTACACTAGGATCTGGAAGAGTTGTTATCATTGACGTGTTCTGGATGGTATGAGGAATTAGCCAATGAAACGGTCTGTTACGGAGAGCTTTAGGTGTGTTTTGTACCCAACTGTGGGTAATCCACTAGTAACATCAATGCTGATTGGTTAATCAAATGTCTGGCGTCATAACGTCAAAAGCCGCTTGTATGACCTCTGACGCGACCTATCGCTACAACCGGTCAGATTTTTATGTAGTAGAGGCCATCGAAAGTATAAAAAAAAAAAAGAAACGAAATATAGATCTGTATTTTAATCAGATTTTCCAACTGAGTAACCAAACTTAATTTATGTGGGTGATTTATATTTAATTTGAACAAAAGTTTATTTCATCTGTTTTTAGATATTTAAAATGTCTTCTTAATTTCTCACATTTAACAATCCTATGCCCTATACTTGAGGATTTGCCCCGGTCCTGATTGTCAGTCCGAAATATTCCGACTTAGACGGATCTACAATCGAGTGACGGTGAGTTACTACTTGTCAAAGTTCTACCAGTTCCTTAAAAAGACTGGCGGCATAATTGTTATTTATAATCAAATGTTTCAACTATTGTGATTGGTGGAAATAATGTCACATTCAGTTTGCTCATTCTTGTCGCTTGAAATTATGGTGTTTACTCAATGGACACATTTCAAGAGATTGAAAGAATTCAATTCAATTCAATTAAAGTATCCCCATATAGTCCAATAATAATAGATATTTATATTGCATGCATTCCATCCAAACAATATGCTCATCGCGCAGGCTTGTTTAGCTCTTCAATTCAAAAACAGTTTATAGTTTACTATAAGCATTCAGTCTAATAATAATGAATATCTGTATTGCACGTATTACATCCAAACAGGTTTGTTTAGCTGTTCAATTTTATAGTTCACTCTTTATAATAGGATTCAAACATATGAGATTTTAGTTTGGATTTGATAGTTTCCAAACATTGTGAAGCTTTGAGGTGTACTTAAATGAAATGAAATGGAGTTTAACATCCTACTTTTCTGCACTGAACTCATCAAAACAGGTATATGCTGAGATAAATTTTGCTTGGACAGCAGCGCTACCGCCTACTCATATATCAAATTCCAAATGTCGCAAGGGTTCTTTTACGTGCATGCCAATGTTTTTTTGTCCCATCCAAACAACTAGACAGCTGTCCTTGTCAGGCCCCCTGCACGACTGACAACTTGGGGCATCATGCCGGAAAATCCTGAGGAACTTTCTCGGTTAACACAGGGAGTGATCAGTGAACCCTAGACATCCAGGCTTGCGAGCCAGTATCTTACTCAATGAGATACCGCGGCTCCCTAGAGTTCCATATTATTGGCACTACCAGATGACGTACCTTAATACAAATTATCTAATCTCTTTATGATCATAATTCTTCGTTTACATCCTCAAAAGTTAATTCTATGGCAAAATTCTCCTTGAAAATCTTCTGTACTTTCTTCTTGTGTGGATTATCAATCTCATCTCGAGGTAGAATTAATCTAAATATACAAATATACTAACATTAAAGATACATTATGGGAGATCAGATAAAGAGATGACTCTTCTTGCTATAGTAGTTAAAAACTGATGATGTTGAAAATTTCACTCAAATTGCTCCACTATGAACCAAGATTATATCTTTAGAAGTTTAAGCCCAGCCTCGATAATCATTACTAAATTCGGTGCGATAAAAAACATAGTCTCAATTATCCATTTTTGGACTTAATCATCAATGAGCGTTCAGCAGCAGATTGGATTGCAATCCAGAGTTAATTATGGTTTGGATAAGTTAATTAATGTTTAATTGATAGTTTATATAACATTTTAGGCCTAAAGAAAGGCCTGCAACAGGCAGATTTAGCTCTTTGCTAATGTATATTTAATACACAGTGAAAAATAAACAATTATCAGTTGATGTTTGTTTCTAAACATGTTTCTAAACATCATTTAAAATTGTTAAAAGAACAAACACTTGTTTCAGTATCATATTTAATTGAGTAGTTGATTTGTGTTTTATTGAGTATTTGATTTGTGTTTTATTGAGTATTTTAATAGTGTTTGATTGAGTATTTGAATCATGTTTGATTGAGTATTTGAATCATGTGTTATTGAGAATTTGAATCTTGTTTTACCGAGTATTCAAATTGTGCTTCATTAAGTATTCAAATTGTGTTTTATCGAGTATTCGAATAGTGTTTTATCGAGTATTCGAATAGTGTTTTATCGAGTATTCGAATAGTGTTTTATCGAGTATTCGAATAGTGTTTGATTATTTGAATCATGTTTTATCAAGTATTTAAATCATGTTTTATCGAGTATTTGAATAGTGTTTTATTGAGTATCCAAATTGTGTTTTATTGAGTATCCGAATTGTGTTTTATCGAGTATTTGAATAGAGTTTTGTTGAGTATTCGGATCGTGTTTTATCGAGTATTCAAATCAAGTTTATTGAGTATTTGAATTGTGTTTTATTGAGTACTTGAATCATGTTTGATTGAGTATTTGAACTGTGTTTTATTGAATATTTGAATCATTATCAAGTATCAGAATCATGTTTGTTGAGTATTTGAATCGTGTTTTAATTGATATTTCTTACCATACTTTAATTGGTATTTTTTACCATGTTTTAATTGGTATTCTAATGATATTTTAATTGGAAATATTTAAAATATTTTTATAATATCCTGTGATTTAGTATTTGATTCATTTTTTTACAATTTTCATCCCTTTGTTATTTGGTATCTTATAATTAAAAAATTTTTGATTTATTTTTTTTTGTTTTGCTAATATCATGTTTTTACGATCAAGAATCCTACCTGGTTTTATTTTTTGTATGTCCTAGGATTAAATATTTCTAATTATGTTTTATTTTCTTTAATAAATAGTAAAAGGCTTTGATTCCATAATTTCTACAAAAAGACAACACTATTATAAACTGATGTAAAGAATTTTAAACAATTTTGAATGATGTTATGTTTGAATATCTGGACTTTGTTTTGTTTGATATATCTTGACTTTGTTTTGTTTGATATATCTGGACTTTGTTTTGTTTGATATAACTGGTATACAATACTTACTTGTGATCTTCTATAAACGATGTGTAAAACCAGAAATAGAAAGGACACTTGTCATAACCTAATGGTACCAATTTCTAGAAAACAAATTAAAAATAAATTAACATAAATGGGGTTTAACGTCCTACATTTCTGCACCAAGGGTTCTTTTACGTGCACAGAAATGAGTAGGCTTACACCGGTTAACCTTTTTGTTGCGAGGCCCTATCTTCCTGCACCAATGACAAGGGGAAATCAAGTTGGATATTGCAGAGGAAAGTTCTCTCGGAATCGATCCCGCCATACATGAATTATTCCTACTATCATAAGAGTTTTCGTACTTGGTGTCCATCAAACCTCTAATGGTATGCATCTTGATAATCTATTATACCAAGACAGGCGAAAAGTACTTTAAATTGTTTTTAAACCAGTGTTGAAATCAGTTTGTGTCAGCATGACTTTTATCTTTTCATCCTTTACCTTGAAAAAAATTAGTGCAGCCTATGGTTTTGCTAATGTTTTTGGATATATATATACTTACGTTGTTAGATCTGAACATGATTTTAATATCCCCTTCTATAACAGGACTGTTCTGTAATTCTACAACTATACTGTTATTATCAGAATATTTCATTGTCTAAAATAAAACAAATATCATTTAATTTTAACACACAAATGCATCTAATGATTCTGTCCCATTCTGTTCCCAATACGGACGGAGAAAGCAAGCTGTTATTACATTTTTTTCATTTCATTATCTAACATTTAAAATCCATTATAGCCATATTTAATCCTTAACTGCAGAACATGCTCCAATTCCATTCAGCATTTACAAAGGTATGATGAATTGAAATTTTGCAGCACTGAGCATCCTCTGCAGATGATATGGGCAACATTTTTTAATGGACTATTTTTAATCTGATTGAATCCAAGTCGGAAGATAACCTACCTTTGATATTTTGGTTTTGTTTTCCTAATTAAATGGTAAATAATTAATTTGAGTGTGGATTAAGCTGGGAAACTGTACAGAATAAAAGTAGAAGTTGAAAATGGTTAATGTTTTAATATTACCTGACAGTTGATGTTGGGACCAAATTGACACTCCCATATCAGATTTCCTTCAGGTCTAATCTCCATTCCTAGATCACTTCCGTCTCCATTCCCAACACCTAAAATACAAATCATTCAATAAATGAAACAGGGTTTAACGCCCTACTTTTCTGCACCGACTCGGCTAAGAAAGACGAGCATATGACATACAGTGTCCTGCACCACTGATAAGGGAAAACCATGATGGAAAGTCCAGAGGAACCTTCTCTGTGAACTCCTGGTGCGATCCCGAGACCTCCAGGCTTGCGAGCTAGTGTCTTACTCACTGAAGCACTGATGCTCCCTATTATCAAATCGATCCACCTCTATAGCAACAGCAGGTTTTGAACCAAGAGCTTGGTCCACACACTTGATAATCTTCTTTCTCTTGGGATGCAGTGCCAAATTTAGATGAAGAGAGATGTGGTTTTATGTCCACTCGATACAAACTAGGTAATTTCGGGACTAACATAAGGTTCAATTTTATTTCAATAATTTGCTAAATGCTTCATATAGTATGGTACGTGTTTTAAAATTTATTCATTATTTTACTGTTGTCTAAGTGCACTGAAACTATACATTTCTTTCATTGGCTAAATAAATTCAAATTTCTACCAATACCAGTCAAATGCCTCAAACCGATAAGGAACATTAGGCATAGCTATGTGAATGTTTGTATGGAGGGCAGGGTGGGGGGGGCATGGTTGCTCAGAATAGTGAGGGGTGATCGTTGCTCGGTATGGTGGGGGGGGGTATCTTTGCTCAGTATTTTGGGGAGAGGGTGGGGCATGGTAGCTCAGTAAATAAAGTTCAAATAAATACATAGGACAAGAATAGACTTACCATTTAATCCTTCGATTTTAACAGTTTTAATTCGTAGTTTCTTATTTGGTGGTAACTCTCGATTGTGTTCATTCTTCATCTTCTCATAATATCCCACATAACGACTCTAAAATAATCAACATGTCAACATATTTCATAATTTCCCACATACCAACTTTAAAACAATTAAAATGTCAACTTATAATATCACACATACCGACTCTAAAATAATCAACATATTATATAATATCCAATATACCGACTCTAAAATAATCAACATGTCAACAGGACAAACATTTTATATTACATACGTTTGAAATACAGGTTTAAACCTTTCATTACCGGTTACTATGGTCACCAGCTTTTTCTACTATCAGTTACTCAGAATTGGACCTGAATCAGTTGATAAATAGACCAATATATAAAAAGAGATAAGGCCATACCAATAAAAATTCTGTTTTTCATACAATCCTTACCAAAAATCTAATGCGAGAGGGAGGTTTTTATTATTGTTATTTTATTGTCAAAGGATCCCTACTGGGATAAATGACTTCTCACAACAATGAGTTACAACATATTCCAAGGCATTATAGATATTTTTTATTTTTTGAATAAAAACGACTCATGCAGCCCTTTTTGAGTGACAATTGATTCTCTGAGTACCAGAAGATTTTTTTTTATATGGTCTAAAGTAAATAGAAACTACTCAACAAACCTGACTGGGTGTCTCGACTCCTTGAAATGTTGAACCAACACTTAAATCAGTTCTTCTATCCCCAAAATAATTCAGACTTTCCTGTAACAAAGATTTAAAATAAAGGATAATATGTAGGGGTCAACATTTATGTGTGTATTGAACTGGGGTTGAACGTGGCCTACTTATCAACACCAACAAGGCTAATGAAGAAATGGGGTTTAATGTCCACTTCACTTCAATTTTATTTTTTATAATTCGCCTGTGTGTAGGGGTCTTTGGTAGTGGGAGGAAACCGGAGGACCCAGAGAAAACCCATGAGTTTGGAAGGTGACCCTAATCCTTGTCACGTACAAACGGGGAATGGAAACTATGCCACTTAACTCAATGATAGACCACAGCTTACTTTAACTTTGCTTATGGGATCTTTAACATGCTGTTACAGGTATACACAGAACATGTTTTGTCTACCATCTAATCAAATAGACATACCCCTGACACCCATGAGATGTGAAGCCAGGCTTGAAAAATCTTAAAGGTTTATATCGAACCCAGGAAATTTTAGTAAAGAATCCAGTGCCCAGACTGATCGACTAACATGGCCTATCTGTACCAAGGTTGGAATGGGTTATAAAATTCCACTAAGAAATTATTACTACCGGTAGCTAAATCACAGTCCTATTACCAGCAGATAACTGCTAGCTGTCTTTACATAACAAAATAAAAATGTCTTACCTTTGCTTCTTCGAATAAACCTGAATCAACGAGCCAACAACAGATCATGGTTCCTGTTCGTCCCTTTCCACCTTTACAATGTATAGCTATAACGTTGCGTTTATCAGCAGACATCCACAGTCTCACACTATCAGCAAACTTTATCATATCACTGAAATATCAGTAAGCCATGATTACACATATTCCAGGAGGTTGCAAAACTTTTTGCCAAAAATTTAATTCAATATCGGTGTCTTACCAAATTACTTTGGGTAGGTATTGGCTATTGAGTATGCCCACCGCCCATCCCCTTGAGTCCCTAAAATGCTTATAACCAATAATATTGAACATACATTATGCAAGAGCTAAATCTGCCAATTGCAGGTCTTTCTTTAGACCTGAAATGTTATCTAAATTATTAATTAGACATTATTTAACTTATCCAGACCATAATCAACTCTCGATGGCATCGCTAGCCTGCGATATTTACTAGATTAGAACCCGATCTGCTGATATCAAAAAATGGATAATCAAGACTATGTTTTTTTTATCTTTCTGACTTTAGTAATGATTATCTAGACTGGGCCCAAAATTCAATCGCTAAAATCTTGGTTCAGAGTGGATCAATTTAAGTGAAATTATCAGCAAATTCCCTTTACATTATCTAGTTTTTAACTATTATAGTGAGAACTGCCAGCTCTTTATCTAATCTCCCATAATGTATTTTTAATGAAAGTACTTTTACAGAAACTAATTGCATGCACATACATCCCAAAAATCCCAAGGAATTTTCTCGACAAACACCTGGATGGAACGAAAGTTTTGATGAAATGTTCCCAACTCGCCTAGCTTTTCCCCATCAGATTTTCATTGCTTCTCTATGTTGAAGATCTGTCATTTGTTGTACAGTATTTTTGTACTCTTAATTGGAAGAAAAAGATATGCCATGGATGTCAGACCTTAGTCTTAGGTAAATTAGTGGAATTGTTTTATTGAACTTATAGCCTTGACAATTGATAAATTATAAAAGAATTACCGTAATCTAGGTACATTATGATCATCTATGAAAACTCTTTCTACACGATTGTGAAATAATGCTTCATCATAATCTCGTTCACCTACAGAAAACAAAAATGCAATATTTTTTAATAAAAAGAAAGATTTTGGTGATATAAAAGAAATGTTTTTGAGATATAAAGCCTCAGATTTCAATATGAGGCATTCTGTATCCCTTATAAACTACAATAATTTGTGAATATTCATTCTGAAAAAGAAATATCAGTCCATAAATTGGTAAATCCTTTTAGTATTTACAAACTTATAAAGAATTCAAATTTCATGATATTTATCATCCTTTGCAGACAATATATTTTCAGCTGGTACAGGCTATGTCACCGCATAGAATCCAATTCTGGAAATTTCAATCAAGCATTTCCATGGAGACCCTTCAATTTTCAGGTAATGTTTTAAAAGTGGAGTTATCTCCCTTTGATTAGAGTAAAGTTGAAATGAAATATGGTTTAACCCTTTCACTGCGTATACCCGGTAGTACCGGGTATTATAAAATGTCGGTAAAATGCGCGTACCCGGTATTACCGTGTACTCAGTAAAGCCCTCGCTAAAATTAGTACCGTTACTGCAAGTGCCATCTATTGTATTTTCTATACACTAGAACATATTTCCATGTGTTTCAAAGCGGCAAACCGTAAAATGGCGGAGTGCATAGTGACAACGTAGACGATGCACTCTCGACGAAGTCGTGAATGACGTCTTGCTGACCAACACGTGGACAATTTCGAGGCGGGTGATACACATAATTCGTTTCCAGTTACTTGATAATGATAGTAGTCAGGACAGTGATTGGTATTATGAAGTGTGTGATTTGTTGCGCGATGTTCCGCCCATAGCTAGCTATGTCTCCCGTGCATGATGAACAAGCCCAATGTGAACACGATAGCCCTGTGTCTGCAGTAGATTCTGACAATAATTCTGATGTTGATAATAATTCTGGCCTGCTGGATCGTAAAAGACGTAGGCAATTCCTGAGTCCCGAACGTGTAGATCTATTGACTGACTATATTGATAATGATATGGGACTTGGGGGTGAAAGTGAAAGTGAAAGTAAAAACAAGGTATTGCAATCTGCACGTGGTCATGGCAGCGGGAGACGTGATGCGCGTGTTCGTGGTGGCATTGCTCATGGCTGCTATTGATATTTTTGTTCATTTTATATATCTTTATCAAAATCCAGTGAAAAAACAATATCTTTTAAGTATTTCATGGAGAAAAATTTGTTTTTGTGTTAACTTTAGTGAGAAATGAGAAATCTAAAATGGCCGCCATGACATCACATGACTACATTATTATGTAAATTTCCAAAATTCTATTTTTTCCTCTTAGCCCAACCTCATGCCCATCCCAACAGACAAAAAGATTTTTCATTAAAGCTTCCATAAGTACTGCTTGGCATTCAATTCCAACCTCCCTTTTTTCCTCAAAAAAGGGTCTAGCACAGGCAGTGGATTTACGTCTAGCATTGAAAGGGTTAATGTCCTACTGTTCTGCTCCTACCATACACCATGCAGTGTACCATGAGGGATATTTTGCTCAGACAGTGGCGCTATGGCATACTCTTATTCGGAATTCCAACTGTCAAGGGTTCTTTTACGTACACGTCAATGTGTACACAGGAGCTCGGTTTTTCATCCCATCCTAATGACTATACATTGTCCCTTGTCGGGCCCCTGTCCCTTACCACTGACAAGGAGGAACCATACCATAAAATCCTGTTGAAGTTGCTCTGCCAACGCAGGGATCGATCACAAGACCTCTAGTTTAGCGAGTCAACGTCCTCCCCAGTGAGCCACCATGGGTGGCTCCCTTGATTAGAGCTTCAATGACATGGCTCGTAAAAAAATTGAAATGACACAAAATGAGATTAACGTCATACTTTATGGCACAAACTGGGCTAGTAAGGAACATTTTGTCCTGACAGCCGCGCTACAGCCATGTCTTATTTCTATTTCGAGCAATCAGAGAATCTTTAATGTGCATTCAATAGTATACAAGGGTTACATACGGCGGTATATATAATGGAGCAGTGTGAGATTAGAAATATAAATATTCTACTTACTACATAGGTTATATAGTTTATAGTGATCTTTATGTTTGGCATCAAAAAACCTAGCTACCTCCTGAAAATATAAAAACAAAAGTAGTAAAAAAATATTTAAGCACAAAGAATGTAGAAAGTTTTACTACTTCTAAACAATTAGCCATCAATTTGATTTGATACCAATCGAGTAAATGAAGATTTGTGGTGCAGAGTATTGCAACCCAAACCATTCAATATATTGTGATACAACTAGGACTACTGAATACATATTGCAATATACATGTATTGTGAACAGTGTTTTTGTAACGAAGATAACTTGGCTCAAAGTGAAGTAATTTGACTGAAATTTTCAACATATTCCCTTTCATTATCTATTTTTAGCTATTATAGTGAGAACTGTCAGCTCTTTATCTAATCTTACCTAATGCATCTTTAATTACTGCATGTAAATATTTTACGACAGATACAGGAAGTAAATGTTAATGAATCCATAGCTAGGGTTATGTATTGTTTAATGGTCGAGAGCGAGACATTAAGTAATATATTGTAACAACATGAGGGCCGTAGGCCCGAATGTTTTTACAATATATTACGCAATGTCGTAAGCTCGAGACCATTAAACATCTTAAAATACTGACACTCCGCACGAGCTTTTACGTCACACTAGTCCAATATCTCACTGGTATGAATAAAGTACTATTGGCAAGTTGCCCGTACGATTATTTGAAATAATGGTACGCCAACATCAAAGGGTGACGTCACATCTGTATTTTAAGATCATTTAACAACTACCCCACCCTGATAAACGTTAATGAATATCATAATCAATCATACATTGCTTTAAACAAATGAAATGGGGTTTAACGTCCTACTGTTCTGCAACAATCGGGCTAATGAAGACGGCTATACGCCAAGCAGTGCGCTTTGAGGAAAATTTTACCCAGACAGAGGTACTACAGCCTAGTCTTGTATCAATCAAACTGCCAAGGGATCTTTTATGTACACACAAATGTGTACATGGGACGTCGGTTTTTTCGTGCCATCCGAACGACTAGACAGCTGTCATTGTCCAATGACAAGGGGAAACCACGTGGAAAGATCCCAAAGAACTTTCTCAGCCAGCACCAGGAGCAAATCTGCGACCTTTAGGCTGGCGAGCCAGCATCTTACTCACTTAGCCATCGTGGCTCCCTCCTACAAACAACAAGACATAATGTGATGTTTATAAGAAGTCATTTAGCCCAGTAGGGATCCTTTGACAGAATAAAAACGCAAAACAAAAACATCCTTTCCGCATCAGATTTTTTAGGAAGGATAGTCTGAGAACTAGACTAATTTTTTTGTATGGTCTTTATACAGTTCTAGTAATTTTAACTTTGGACATGGGATGAATATGGAAGAAAATGTAAACATACTTACTCGGATAGGGTTTCTGTATAACGCCATGACACCTTTTGATGGGAAAGACATAGCAATAACTCGCTCTGTAAACAAAATATATCACACTTAATAAAACACATCTTAAAATAAAAATCTCCCAGGGAATCTTTATTCAAATGCAATTAAAATATTGATTTAACTGAAATTATTACTTTTTGGAAACTGAAAATCTATCAAATATAAGAGATTTCTACTGTCAACCTCAAAATGGGCAGATGACTATTCATCATGAAGCAGAGAAAGAGAGAGATGGGGCTTAAGATCCACTGACACAAATATATGGTTAAATTTTATCTCAATAGGGGCCTTAAGAATGTGGGTGGAAACTGGAGGACCGAAAGAAACCCCCGAAGTTAGACACACAACCATACTTCTTGTCTTGTACAAGCTGGGAATCGAAACAATGCTACTTGACTCAATAACAGACCTTAAGATCTAATATTCATACACCTAGACCATTCAGCCACCCAACCCCCTCATCTTGAAGCACAGTAAGATACAGTCACAGCTGCTCATAATGGTAGTATGTATAGATTTGAAATGGAATTGGGTTTCCATTTACATCTCGCAAGATATCATGATTTCATCAAGAAATATGTTTTTTTGAGGTTGTTAGAATGAATTTTCCAATTAGTTGTTTTGTATTCAGGCTCACAAATATCGAGGAAATATATTCTTATCCCATTTTTGAAAACACAAATAGATATGCCACTATATATCACTTTAACTCGGGAATCATTTGATCTTGTGTATCTAGCACTAATTTCTTTCACAGTCATTCAATATCAAATCTTTGTTTAAAAATTTGTAAACAATCATTTAAAATCATCGAACAAATGTGAAAGAAATTAGTGCTAGATACACAAGATTAAATGATACCCAGGATACAGTGTATTAAGGGCCGGTTTTTCAAATTCTATTATAAAAATAAATTACAATAACGTTACCTGTTATATAACACAGATCAAGATCAAAACCATCTTTTTGATATCTACGTTTATTTTGAGAAACGACATGTCGGGTTGCTTTGGTAACTTGTCGATGTTGAACGATAATGAAATAGATGATTCTGAATATACGTATAATACGGAACACTCGACCTATTACTACTAACCTGAAATAAAACAATCATGTTTCTAAATAAAACTAACGATAATAAGAGATTTCGTACCTATATATTATATCAAACCCCTTGGGCGCCATGTTGAATATTTAACGTTTAAAAACCTAACTATTTTATGGAATCAACGACAAATTTAAACTTTGGCACTCCAACCATTTTTATTTTGTTTTACAAATACCTATATCATCACTTAAATATTAAACCTTAAGACTCCGAAGACATTACGCGCCATTATTTTGGAGTCCACTGGTATGTATGCTAAACTAGATAAGCTTACTAGTAAACTGCAGTATTGTAAATCATGTCAAATCTGCAGCTGACTTAATGACAGACCTTATGAACTAGAGCGCATTAAACCTTTCGGCCACCAACTTTTATTTTTGAGAGACACATTTGTGTTGCGCTTTGAGCATTCTGTTTATGGATGGATTATAGCGCATTATAAATATACATATTATTAACCCTTCTGGCACTAAATGAAACACAATAATAACTTTACAATCGAGAGAAGTTAAAATCGATCTAAGTCTAACTGATTACAGTGAATAGTATCATGCATGTGGCAGAGTATACATATTATATAATTGTAAAATAAAATAGTAAAAGACAAACATTAAACAGATATGTTATTATCTTACTTTGCGTAGTTAGCTCCCTGTTCACTACACGGTTGATTTGCTTCTATACCAATAAATACCATATCAACTATAAATGATACTACTACTATCACCATATCAATTAGATCAAAACAGTTGTAGAAAAACTCCTTACTAAAATATACAAAACAGTCTTACTGAAATATACAAAACAGTCTTACTAAAATATACAAAACAGTCTTACTGAAATATACAAAACAGTCTTACAGAAATATACTCATGCCAAGTAAAATATCGTAAAGGTTCTTGTTGGGCCACAATGAGACTTGAACCTGGGGAATTCTAGTTGAAAGGCCAACCACCTCGATTGTCGATATAAATTAAATTTGGGACAAAATTTCCCACATAGCACTGTTTGTCGTATGGTATGCCCGTCTTCATTAGCCCAGTCGGAGCAGAACAGTAGGAAGTTAAACCCCATTTCATTTTATTTTGCCCTTACAGCAGACAGCCCAGACACACTAATGTGTACACCATGACCTCTGTTTTATAGAAACCTTGCGCTATACAGTATGTATAATAAACCTGCGATTATATTCCATATAAATGGTTGGCTATGTATTTTTTATAATAATCAGAAAGTACTTTTATTAGTATCAACAATAGCACTATCACTAATTAATGACTATTAATTGAATAGAACTAATTAATGATTAATTATCTTACTGTACTAATCCAATATACTTGATGATCTAGATACTCACCCCTGATAGAAAATCCTGGCAGCTATTTCTAATACAAACAATGTAATGATGATATGTGAGATGATCTCTAGCACGTTATTACTATCAGCACAGTTATCTGACGCTAGCACGATGATGACTAGTATAAAATCTAATAATATCAATAACACTGTCACTGCACGAAATAAAATATGTTCCACAATATTCCTCACTTTATACTGCCAAAACCTGAAAACACACAATCAAAAATTCATTACTAATTAATGTAAATACTTTATGAATAAAAATAACAATTATTCTTGTAAAACACTAGACTCCAAACAGTATTGAATACTCAAGGTGCCGACAAAAGTTACATAATATAGTTTATAAACATGTAGGTTTTGAGTTTATGTTTTTAAAGATGCTGAGAGATGGGTCTGTTGTAGATGTTGTGGTTATCAGTTACATATGTACTATGTATGTGATGCATTATATGTCTCCAGGTTACAGTTAATAAAAACTTGGAATCAAATCACAGGAATCTAGCTGATTGATAATATTACGTAAGTAGTATGTTGATGTGCCATGTATGGAGAGAGAGAGAGAGAAATGGGGTTTAACGTCCACTCTACACAAACCAGGTCATTTTGGAACTGACATATAGTTCAATTTTATTTCAATGATTCACTTGCGTATTGGAGTTTTTGGCAGTGGGAGGAAATCGGAGGACGCAGAGAAAACCCTACTCCGTGTCACGCACAACCAGGGAATTGAAACCACACCAGCTGAATCAATGACAGACCTTATGATAGAGCGCGCACACATTAACTGTTCGGCTGGCTATCCCCCCCCCCAATGCCGTGTATGCACTGATAAGTTAAGGTTAAAACATTTATTCTTTGTCGAACAGGAAGCCAATGAATAAAGTCTTTTCATTGGCTTAGAGCTAGTCCTAATACAGATTATATCTCTCAGCTAATGAATAATTGATATTCTTAAAATACTTTAGTTTCAGTTTTCTAATAATAGTTATGCCACACCAACATCAGGCCTCGAGTTCACAATGCATTCTAAGACTTCAGTTAAGAATTTACTCAAAAATATAGCCCTTGACAAAAATTTTATTGTTTTAATGTATCAAATACACCAATAAGATACTATACGTGCAATTTTTTGTGTTTCTGGATCAAAGCTATTTCTCATAAACAGTGATTGAAAGTTGAGTAAATTCTTAACTTAAATCTGAAAATGCTTTGTGAACTCAGGGGCAGGTCCTATTAAAATTTTTACTTCCGAACTTCCTATTTCCTTAGGAGCTTCTTAAAAGAACTTTATTCAAATTTTTTTAATTTTTTGAAAGTTTAAGCAAAATGCTGTTCACAAGACATCATTGGCTACTATATTTATTTATCAAATTCTCAAAAATCAAAATCCCTTCGGCCTTGCCCTGAACACATTCATATCTGAAAATTGACTTTAAAAATTTAGCTTTTTCCTAACATTTTCATTGAAAGTAGACCTATAAGAACTACAAATTAAATTCCTTGGGCCTTTTGACTTTCACTTCAGAAAATCATGCTTTTCTTGGAGTTTTGAGTAAGTATAAAGACAACTTACTCGAGAGCTGTTTTAGGTTCAAATGGGTTCCCTGCCGGATCATCAATATAATCCATTCCGTTTTGTTTATCCTCAATATCATGGAACGTGATCTGGCTTTGACTTTGTTCTGGATCCTGACTGACTTGGATATGAACATCTCCAAGATTTTCCTCCGCTGTTTTTATGGCGACTTCATTTAACACGGCCCGGCTGGGAGCCAAGTCATTATCAAATCTCTCGTAGTTTGACATCATAGAATCTTTAATATCTACAGGGTCTGAAATAATTATACATGATGCAAATATTGATTTATATTTAGCTTGTTCAGGTAGATCAAGTTCATTTTATTTGCCAGTAACTATCAGATGTACATGTACATGTATGCTTCAACAACATTCTACTTCTAACTACATACCTAACAAAATGTCAGGCACTAATGAAATAGTACCTGACATTTTCAACTTAGTGCCGGACATGTATTAATAATATCAATAAAAGATTGGTTGCCAGGCAACGAAACATACGCCCACAGGCAGCTATATCGTCCGGGCAGTCAACAAGAGTTGTCACATATTTTTACTTTTTTCGGTAATGAAACATTTATAATACATTAAAATCTGATTAAGAGTAACAACTCATTAAGTAATTATCAAAAAACCATTAGAATTTGTTTGGGTTTTATAAACTTCTGCCCCATGCTAACGTTTAGTATACAAAACTTTTAACGTCATGGATTTAGCTGTTCAAGTCATAAAGATTCATTGAAAATCAATATACTTGTTCGTCTCAAGAACTTAAAGTCTGTGTATCAATCTGAAGTCAATCGGATGATAACTTTAGCCTCTAGAGCGTCACAAGATTTTTCAAAGTGATCAAGGGCTATAACTTTGGCAGTAATTATCCAAAATCGTTGAAAATCAATATGATTCTTCATCTCATGGCCTCAAACACTGTGTATAAATTTAAAGTCAATCGGATATAACCTTTAGCCTCTAGAACGTCCACAAGATTTTTCAAAATGATCAAGGGTCATAACTCTGGCAGTAATCATCGGAAATCGCTGAAAATCAATAGGCTTCTTCGTCTCATGACCTTAAACACTGTGTATAAATTTAAACTCAATCAGATATTAACTTTAGCTTCTAGATCGTCCACAAGATTTTTCAAAGTGATCAAGGGCCATAACTCTGGCAGTAATTATCGGAAATCGCTGAAAATCAATAGGCTTCTTTGTCTCATGACCTTAAAAACAGTGTATAAATTTAAAGTCAATCGGATATTAACTTTAGCCTCTAGAGCGTCCACAAGATTTTTCAGTGATCAAGGGCCATAACTCTGGCAGTAAATATCGGAAATCGCTGAAAATCAATAAGCTTCTTTGTCTCATGACCTTAAACACTGTGTATAAATTTAAAGTCAATCGGATATTGTGGACGCCGGACCAACGGACGGGGGCGACAACAATATACGACCACATTTCAATGTGGGCATATAAAAAGACAAATCAGTGACAGGCAAAAAGACAGGCGCCAGAGGTTTTGTGTCTGACAAACCCTGAATCTGTGCCTGACATTGTCTGTGACATGTGCCTTATTTCCAGGCTTGCATGCCTTACTGTACATGAATTCTGAAACTAGTAACAGGTCAACTGAGAAAGGAGACAGACAGAGAGAGAGAAATGAGGTTTAATGTCCACTCGACACAAACTAGGTCATTTTGGGACTGACATATGATTCAATTTTATTTCAATAATTTGCTTATGCATAGGGGTCTTTAGCAGTGGGAGGAAAAAGGAGGACCTGGAGAAAACCCACGAGGTTGGACAGGCGACTCTATTCCTTGTCACAGAACAACCATGGAATCAAAACCATGCCAGTTGACTCAATGATAGACCTTACGATACAACGCGCCCACGCTAACCATTTGGCCATCCAACTTCCCACCTGAGAAAGGAGACAGGGGGAAATACATAAAAATATCCATACAAATGTATTTCATAGCTTTAGATCCACCAATACATGTAATCTCATTAATAATCTCCATAATTATATATCCCTATATAAACATGTACACATGCATGAATATATTTTAATCAAATTTATGATAAAATTTATACACTGTATTTAAAAATTTCTACATTATACACTGATATCAGCTTGTAGATCACAAATCGACTTGTGTATTACACATTGATGTAAGTCTGTAGATCACAGACTGACTTGTGTATTACACTTGATATTAGTCTTGTTTGCCACAAATTTACTTGTGCCTATAGTCTGTATATTACAAATCCACCAGTGTATTACACGTTGATCTAAGCCTGTACATCACAAATCAAAGCAAAATCAATAGATCCTCAAATTAAAATTTCAAATTTAAATATACAGATGTACAGTACTTGTACTATTTGGCCTATTTGGTATTCTAATTAGTGAGTCTGGTTCCATGATATCTGGTGTCTATTGGTACTTCAAATTACACTATACATGTACTGTTTTCTAATATCTCAATATTCTTAATAGAAATGAAACATGTACAGAATAGCTATTTATATATAACCAGTTTAAATGCCTGCAGGTTTAATTAGCTGTTTAACCTTTTGTACCATGTGATCAATCTGATTAAACATCTAACTTGTTTAATAAATGTGTAGGGCGGGGCTCTAAATTGGTAATTTTTTTCAATCAATGTCTGACTAGCTACAACATCTTGCCATGACAAATGTTCTATGGAATCGGTTTCTTTTTAAAACCCTTTTTTTACCCTCGCTGTCCACTGCTCCCTAGACTGCCAGGGTCACAGAATCTGGTCCTATAATTTTGTCTGACACAGATTTATCTATTTTCTTTTTATTTGATGATATTTCAAAAAAATATTGCTTGACACAAAAAAGTACAAGTTCAACAGAACATTTTGTTGGATTCAAGTAAAATCATTATTGACTCTTTAAAAACAAATTGAATTAATTAACATGGTTGTAATTAAAAGATGATTGAACAAACTGGTGAATAACATAAAAGGTTAATAATAACAATAATTATAATGATTGATCTATTATACACCTAGTCAGACTGTCTGCTATATGGTAATTACATGTATGTAGCGTTTAATAATATAAATATGAGATGTTTAATTACAATATCATGAGTTACTAAGGTCAAGTTGTCTCTAAGCTATAAATAGTTGGATTACCGGTATATGGTTAAATATAGCCTTTTAATTGCAAGGATATACAAGCTTATATCAGTTTATCAATGAATACCAGTATACTGATACTACATGTACATAGTCAGCAAAATTTATTTGTATAACTGTCTTATAGAGAGAGGGAGAGAAATAGGGTTAACATCCACTCGACACAGATTAGGTCATTTCGGGACTAACATATGTTTTAATTTTATTTCAATAATTCGCTTGGGCGTAGGGGTCTTTAGCAATGGGAGGAAACCGGAGGACCCGGAGAAAACCCACGAGATTAGACAGGCAACCCTACTCCTTGCCACGTACAACCGGGGATTCGAAACCACGCTAGTTGACTCAATGACAGGCCTTATGATACAGCGCGCACGTGCTAACCATTCGGCCATGGGGGCTGTCTTATAGAAACTTTCCAATAAATGACAAGCGATATCAGGTGTTCTAGACATATGCATACTCTGCCATATGTATAACACCCACCCAGAGCAATAAATCATAAAAAACTGAAACTGTTATAATTTTCACCTCACAGCCTGTATGTATTATTATTATAAGATAAACAATTTTCAGCTTCATGAAAAATAATGTATGTACATGTACATGGGTACTGCCAACATGAATCAGTGACCTTAATTTGTGAACCACAAAACCGTATTGCTGTCACAGTCTGAGTGACATTAATTTGTGAATTTTTTAATTTCAATACTGTTCAACTGTACAACCAACTTATGTAAACTTGTGCAATACAGTGTTTGTTAGTGCAAGTAAAGTTTATTTAAACATGAAATAAATCTAAACTATTAAACCTGTATCAATTCTATCTGCTTCCATAATCTCGATGATATTGTCCTCTGTAAAATAATGTACATGTGTTCTAATTTGTGGTTTTGTAGTTAGAGCAACTGGTTTGGTATTAACATTTATTAATAATAAGGCCCAGCTGCACACTAAACACTTCCTTAACGTTACAATATAATTTCTATCTCTGCTGTATTCCTGCACTGAAACTTTTTATATGTTCTGCTGTACATGAGGTTAATGGGTTGCATTTTTTTCTAAATTAGATTTTGACAATTGCCAGGGAACAAAATGTAGATCTCCTGTTTTTAAATACTATTATAAATGTAAACACAGTCTAACGTCACGATAACATAGCTAAAATTCCAAAACAAATATAATTGAATGTAAACTATGGTATATGTACATGTAGTCACTTTATAATTTATTTATAGCACAAAAACCAAACAAATATAAATGAATGCAGGGGCAGATCCAGGAATTTTTGCAGGACGGGGTTTTCCGCTCAAGGACCCTGCATCACAGTATTATTACCATGCAGATAAAAGTTATCATTGGGCATGCTTCTGAATTTAGATGTAACAGTGATAAGATGAAGACGCCCTGGTAACAGTAAATTTAAACCCTTAAATCAATGTGAGTATGTTCAAACATGTTAAGATGTAGGCCTACCGTATCCAACAGACATTTTTATCTAGCCTCACATACTATTGTCAACCACATGCTTTATTTCATGATACATCTATCCAATCCCATTAAACTTCAGACTACAATTTTTTCTTCTTTATTATTCTGGGGCCTGTTTCACGAAATTTTAACTAAGATAAAATCCAAATTTTAGTTATTTGATTGGATAATATTAGATTGATTTTAGTGCTTAGTTAATCTACTAAAATTGGATTTTATCTTTAGTTAAAATTTCGAGAAACAGGGCCCTGATTTCAATACGCGAAAAATGAAATAATTTTTTTTTATTCTGTTTGATAAACAAATTATCTAAATTTATATTGGCACCTGTTAAATATGTATACTTCATAATTACTGATATTGATGCCACAATCTTTGATACATATGAGGCACAATGATATCAGCTAGACTGTAACCTGGCCAGGTAAAATTATCAACCACAACTGACTGACATTTAAAAGGGGGTGTATCCTACACAAGTCATTTTTTGAACTGACAGTACATTTCTTTCTGATGACAAACAATCACAATGGCATCGTGATTAGCTGTTAATCATCTGCAGTTACTTGTCTACACAACAGCGCTGATGTTTTCTTAGCCAAGTACCCTAAATCATCACATATCCTACCTGTTTTAATTAGTTAAAATAACATTTTGCAGGCGTTTATCATCCTCTGTATGGAGTTATTCAATGGGGTCATCAATAGATTAAAGGTGAAAGGTCGAGGTCGATCGTGGTGTTCGACCAATGGCACACCGTTATACATATTTTTAAGGAAGTCATTATTACCGGAAGACGAAATTCACAATATGGCGGTGAAATAGCAAAGGAAAAGTACTGAGCGATAAAAATTTAATCATATGAATCATGTTTTGATTAACGCTATATTATTGATTGACACCGCTTCCTAGAAATATGGAGGATATATTACAGCGCGTAAAGCAATGGACAGACCCAGAATTGAGAGAAAACTTCGAGAAATATGGAGAAAAAGTTGGACCACTAACTGCGACAACTCGCCAGTTATTTCAGAAAAGATTAGCTAAGAAGATATTTTTAGTAGAACACCCTGGGGAAACAGAATCTTCTGCAACCGAGAGTTCTGACAGCTCACAGAATTCAACCAAAACTGTGTTAAAAAACGAAGAACCACAAAATAAAGCAATTTCTGTTCAAAATGCAACCCCTTCCATGTTCTATGCCGTCTGCCTACCAAAGGAAGAAGAGCTTTATGAAGGTTTGTATTTGTATAGATCACAAGTCAGTGGTACATGTTTTGTTGACAATGCAGTCACAATATCCACCGTGGCTCAGTGCCTAAGGTGCTATGGCTCCCTAACCAGGGTTCGATCAAAATGTTGGCTAAGGAAGTTTCTCAGGATTTCCCAGCATGGTTTTCCCTTGCAAATGACAAGGAACAGTGTCTTTCCCTTGTACATGTACATATACGCTTGCCTGAAAGAATCCTTGACAGTTGGAATTCGAATAAGAATAGGCTGTAGTGCTGTTGTCCTGGCAAAATTTCCCTCCTATTCACTTCTTCATTAGCCCAGTCAGTGCAGAACAGACAAGCCATAAAAACAGCTACATGTAGGGGAAAAATCTCTTTACTATAAAAATACTGGTATGTGATATGTCACTCTGGATGACCAGATAAGCACAATGAAAATCCACATCACATCGATCAAACAGAAATGCACATGTATAAGTTTACCAATAATCTTGAACAGAAGTTTAATCAATGTTTATTTTTCTTTATTTTCAGGTGATTTGGTATTCGTTGATAAAATGGCTGCCTTGAATCTAGTGAAGAAATACAAGGGTTCAAGATTTAAAGTTTTCAGGAATCGAGACGAGGCACAAGAATTTACTAAACCAGTTAAAATTGCTTCTCCAGTTCTAGTGCAGGTTACAGGAATTTTTCAAATTATGTAGACAGTAGAAAATGTATTGTGCACATTGTTTAATATTTTGCTGGGATACGTGTAGGCTAACCACCACTTTTGTCTTGAGATGTGCAGAAAAGGAACTGATTACTTATAACAACCTGTGGATAATAAAGCCTCATCTGATTAAATTAATAAAAGAAAAGTCTTCACTACATGGGACAAAATCAGTCAGCTACAAGCCATTCTTAAACTTTTCCTTCTGCACACAAATATGCTTGTTATCAGTTCAAATTAAATATGAATATTGTATGTTTTCAAGACTGTATCTTTTTCATGCAATATAAATAGTCTGATTTAATAAGGTTACAGAATTTCTTTAATTTTTAGAATTTTGAAACTATATTGTAATCTGACAAATTTTCTATCATCAAGACGTTCTACCAAGATGAGTAATATTTATGACAGATGATTGAAACCCCTACAAATTATTGCTGTGTAGGCCTACACTATCTCATAATACACCACAATACACAATACTCAACCCTGTTTCCCTATATTTATTTGATCTAAAAGCAAGTCTGAACATAAGGCACCAGACATAAACTTTGTCAGGCACAAATTATTACACAACAATAACATATATTGAGATTGGGATGGCCTAGTGGTCTAGAGTGTCATTCTTCGAGTGTATGTGGCTTGGAGATGGGGGTGCCCTCTCATCCTCGTGGGTTTAGTCTGGGTGCTCCAGTATCCTCACACAGGAGCATGCGCTAAGATTCTAAAAATAAGACAACTTGTCTGCGATATCACCCTTGGTGGAAGCAGATCTTAAACACTAATAGAAGAAGACTATGTCCAGGTTTGTCTAAAATCCAACTTCAAGTAATAGTACATATACATGTTGTTTTATTTTATTTCACTGCTGTTTTGTAATAATTTAACCATCCCTTTATTTACAGAATTCTGAAACTGGATTTGAAAAAACCTCTACTGGAATAGCTGTGGAGAAGAGTGCTTTCAAGGGACCAAAAACTGCTGAGCTTGTGGCATTACGTCGAACTATTGAGAGAGGAGATTTTGAAACATTTTCATCAACTGTATGGGAGAATCCTCGATATCTAATCAGTAGTGCTGATACTCCAGTTATTTTACATGTACGTTTCAGTTTTTTTTTTTTTTTTTCTTTTTTAAAACAAATCCAGAGTTTGGATGTTGATCGCCTCTGTTCTGGCAATACCGAACTCTTTAAAAGTATTAAAAGGACAGAAAACCCTGTTGCGTTCAAGCCAAATTAAGTATTCCACATATTTTTTTTTTAAGACACCAAAATGATTAAAAGATAATATTTTACCACAGTTTTAGGACCTTATGGATGGACAACATGTATGCTTGTTTGAATTATCTTAAGTACTAATCGTCATTTGCCTTTCGGGGACAATATCCAATTTTTTAGGACTTAATCCACGCTAAAATGTTCTCAAATTAATTACCGGTATTTAATCAAGAAACAAAACCAAAATAATAAAGGTAAAATAATCTTCCGGCTTGGATTTATTCAGATTAAGAAGAGGCCTGTCACTTATTAGTGGCATTGATTAGTTTATATTTTCTGCAGAGGATATTGAATAACAGGAATTTTTTCATTCATTGCATCTTTGTAAATACTGAACGGAATTCAACCAGTTTTGGACTTATATTCCTTTTCATGATTCATCTTTTACAGTATTGCAGTTTATAAAAGGCTAAAAAAAAATCCTTCTAATGAATCTAAGGGATATGAATGACTTGAAGGTTACACTTTTATGTACAGAAAATAGAATTATTTGTCTTCTAATAGGGTTTTCAGGTCACGTGACTTTAACTGAAATCGGACAGCCAGAGGCAGAAATATAGCCCACTTCAATCTACGATTTTGAATTACTATTTTATGTAAATGTATTACTAGCAATTGTATTGTAATAGTTTGATATCAATCTCAATATCTGCAAAGATTCAGGCTCAAAAATTATCGAAATGTAAGCGAAATTACCGCACCTTAGTTTCCGGTAGATTTTGATATAGAACCAATCAAACAATAGATAACATTTTTGTGATTATTATGGTCCGTGATACCCTGAGATCCGACAATTACAGCCGTAGAAAACAGGATTTATCTGTTTTGATGACTGAAATTTGCTAAATTTTGACTAAATATAAAATACTTTCTTGTGGTATCATCTAGATTATAAATATTTGACATATGAAGGGAAAATACCACTTATGACGTCACTCAAATATGACTGAAAAGCACTTATTTTGGTGCCATGCCAATCATTGACTGGTATAGAGCATTTTGATTACATTATTGACATCGATCTCGGATTTTAAAATTCCATAACTTTGGATCTAATTTGAATATTTTGATGAAATTAAAAAAATAGGTAGCATTTTATCTACATTTTCACAAAATATTAAAAAAAAAATTTGTTCTGTTATTTGAAACTTTGACCTGAAACCCCTACTTATAATTATGTATTTCTATAAAGAAATTGGAATAATCTTTTTCATATTTATGTTTTGTAGGAAGGTTTACGATACAATGCTCTACATATGGCCGCCATATCAAATAAACCAACCATGTGTAAACTGGTTTTAAAGACTGTCTCAAACCCAGAATTTACAGAAAAACTTTATTGTTTCTCACACGAATCACAAGAGACAAAACAGAGGCGAATAGATTTTGTGTTTGATCTTTATCTCAATATGCCTGATAAAGGTGTAAGTAACAATTTTTTTATTTAGTAATTAGAATGATTCCTACATCTACATGTATATATATATCAGAGTAAAGTCTACTCAATAACAATAATGGTTCCTAATCTCAACAGAAGGAAATGGGATTTAACTTACTATTTTTTTGCACTGACTGGGCTATTGGAGGCAGGTGTATGCCATGTGGTGTGCTATGAGTGAAATTTTGTTTGGACATAGCGCTACCGTCTACTCTTATATCACATTGTTAAGGGTTCTTTTATCTTCACACTAATGTGTACACGATATCTCGTTTTTTCTCATCCGAACGACTAGACAGCTGTCCTTGCTGGCCCTCGGTCCTGCACCACTGACAAGGGGAAACCATGCCAGAGAATCCAGAGAAACTTTCTCAGCCAACACCAGTAAGAACATCTTACTGATCCACCACGGCTCCCTCAACATAAAGACGTCAGCTCAGTAATAATGAAATGAAATGAAATGGGGTTTAACGTCCTACTGTTTTGCTCCGAACTGGGCTAATGAAGACGGGCATACGCCATACAGTGTGCTATGAGGGAAATTTTGCCCGGACAGCGGCACTACGGCCTACTCTTATATCGAATTCCAACTGTCAAGGGATCTTTTACGTGCACTCCAATGTGTACACGGGACCTCGGTTTTTCGTCTCATCCGAATGACTAGACAGCTGTCCTTGTCAGGCCCTCCGTCCTGCATCACTGACAAGGGGAACAACGCCAGAAAATCGGGATGAACTTTCTCGGCCAATGCAGGGATCCAGTAATAATGATTCCTACACATCTATAACACTATTCTCAAGCACATGAACAATACAGTAGGGTACTCAATTGTTAGTCTGAAAAGTTCCTTTGCCTGTCGAACCTCGAAGTGCAAGCAAATTATTGAAACAAATGTGTAACATACATGTACATGTATGTTAGCTCCGAAATGCTCTGCATTTAGTTTGCATTTAAGTTGGCTTTAAATTCCATTTCTCTCCCTCTGTCTTGGATGTTCCAAATCGGGTTCTGTTACAATTCTCACTGTAACCTGGGTATCATTTAATCTTGTGTACATGTATATAGCACTAATTTCTTTTACATTCATTTAATATCAAATCTTTGTTTAAAAATTCACAAAAATTATTTAAAATCACCCCAAATCAGCTAATTTGTACTTGTGTATAGTTTGAAGCTGACTGATTAGTTAGATAATGAATGGAACAGAAAGTCCTAAAATAACATTTGTGCCCATTTGTTAAATTTAAAGATACATTATGGAAGATTAGATAGAGAGCTGATAGTTCTCACTATAATAGTTAAATGATAGATAATGTAATGGGAATATTCTGAAAATTTCAGTCAAATTGCGTCACTCAAAGCTGATAAATACTCATTTTAAAAACTTTGTAGTCTCGATTGTCATTGTTGACGTTGCGACGGAACGTCTTGATTATCCATTTTTGTGTTTAATCATCAATGGCTTCAAATCTAATGAAAATCAGAAGCATCAAGAGTTGATAATTGTCTTGTCATGTTAATAAATTTCTAATTGATAATTTATATAACATTTCAGGCCTAAAGAAAGAGCTACAATAGGCAGATTTAGCTTTTGCATAATGTATGTTAAATATTTTATTATTTTATTTAACAGAATGGTGAATCTCCACTACATTTTGCCTGTAAGTTTGGTTTTGCCGATGTTGTTCGAGCATTGTTAGAGCATCCTGGGATTGACAGGAACATGTTAAACAAACACGGAGAGACACCACTCAAGGTTAGTGAACATGTGTTTTACATTGTACTTTGCTGTTTATCACTGTAACTCATTTATATATTGTGTATTTAGCCCTTATTTCTTTCACATTCATTCAGTAACAAATCTTTTTTTTTTGAAAATTCATAAAAAAAAGTCTGAAATCACCTAACATCATCTAATTTGTACTTACATCATCTAATTTGTACTTACATCATCATCTAATTTGTACTTACATCATCTAATTTGTACTTACATCCGTTGATAGTGTACTATAGAACTATTTATATCAAACATCTGTTGATAGTTATGTATAGTATAGAACTGTTCATATCGGACAACCATTGACACTATAGTTATTGTACAGTATATTATAGAACTATTTATATCATACATCCATTGATAGTTATTGTATTGTGTAGGAGGGGGAGTTGCCAAATGGATTATCATATGTGCTTTCGATCATAAGGTCTATCATTGAGTCAAGTGGCACGGTTTAGATTCCCAGCTTGTAAGTGCCAAGGAGTGGGGTCATCTGTCCAACTTCGTGGGTTTTCTCCGGATCCGCTGGTTTCCTTTCACTGCTAAAGACCCACATGCCATCATATTATTGAAATAAAATTGGACCATACGTTAGTCCCAAAATGACCTATTTTGTGTCATGTGGGCATTAAACCCCATTTCTCTTCAACACCCGTCTTCATTAGCCCATTAGCCCAGTGGGAGTAGAACAGTAGAACGTTAGACCCCATTTCATTTCATTTCTATCTTCAACAAGTTAATGAGGGTGATTCAGATGCTGATGCTGATATGAGTATGTTTGTAAATGTCATGGTGATGCGATAATTAAGATCATTAGCTGGCGATTAGTTCATTTTGTATTTTACCATGAATTTTCTCGCTAGATATTAGATTTACTGATAAATACAGATAAGCTGAATTCTACATTTAAAGGTTAAAGTGAATAGCAGATATGTTTGAAGTTCCAGTAATATAAGGAAATATTTACATGTACTTGTATATATTGTGTATTATTAACGAGATACTCACATTTGTTAAGAACACATAGAATCAGTGGCTGGTAAATATTACAGAATCTGAATCTGTCTTCAAGTCATAGCTCGAAACTGATTTGTTTACTTGTAAACTCTCTTGATTAGATGAGAAACTGATTGTTTTGTTTATGTTTTAATTGTAATGAGACTCATTCAATATAGGGCTTTGAACATGAGGAAATGAGCATGGATTTGCGGTTTCACGTAGGCGTTTACAGACTGTCTGGTCTGAGATCCTACGCCGTCCGGGAATTGCTGCTGCAGTAGAGATCACCGTTGGGAACCGTTTCTGCAAATGACGTAACCGGATGTGACGATCCAGGGCAGTTGGGGTCACTCTTGTTTGGCCTGAACTTGGGCGGTCACGCATTGAACTTCGCTGTTGATACATATCCCAAAGGCGAGAAATGGTACTCTGGGAAACAGCAGTCTGGCTACATCTATCAGGGATTCACCTGCTCGTAAACGACCGATAGTGTTGTTTTTGCGTTGGTCTTCGTTCAGATCACTTGGCACGTTGAGTGCTTACATGTGCAACTGTTTTTGAAACCTGGAACCCAAGAATTTTAAAGGCCTTAGATTTAGGTTTCATGTGAAAAGCTTGCGAAGTTGTTAAACTCATGTGTCTTGGTGCAATCAAGCGAAAACAAATTTCAGCAAAAAAAAAATTTGACCAGTCACAATTAGTGACTAGTGACCCAACATTTAAAACCGATAATAAATTTCTTTTATTCATACATAATGATGTTAAAAACAAGTAAGATTTATGGAAAAATGATGAAAAATGGGCTGTGTGTTTCTTTTTTTTGAAGAGTATATTTGCTGTATCTATACATGTAATTAATACATGTAGCTAGACATGACCAGTCACCTTTTCGTTACAAATTAGTATTTCATTATGGGCCTGGGACTGTACAGCACACATCTTGCCCCCCTCCCCCTCCGGCTCCATTGACTTGATTTGATATTTGTTGTTTATTTCTTGCAATGTCTTTGTAGTTTGTCTTGTCCGGAGGTTTGTCGTATCGGTTTTATGTTGTGTGTAGTGCGGTCCTCCTGCACTTAATATTAGTTTTGAACAAACTTAGGATCTAGAATTTAATATGGTTAATTTCTAGACAGGGGAGTTGGGTGGCCGAATGGTTAACACATGTACGTCACTTGTACGTGACAATGAGTAGGGTCACCTGTCAAACCTCATGGGTTTTCTCTGGGTCCTTCGGTTTCCTCCCACTGCTAAAGCCCCCTATGCCCAAGCAAATTATTGAAATAAAATTAAACCATATGTTAGTCCTGAAATGACCTAGCTGGGGTCGAGTGGACGTTAATCTCTCTCTCTCTCTCTCTCTCTCTCTCTCTCTCTCTCTCTCAATCCACGCTTATATAGTAGGGCCTACTCAGATTGATTATTTAACATTTAACTAATAGATGGATTAAATTTCAATTCCACATGTCATTATAAATACTGAATGGACCGATATCAGTATTCCTATTAGCGATGCATGTTTCATAATATTGTAATTTGCAAGCAATTCCTATTGCTTAAAAATGGCACCTGGGGACCATCATTAACTGACTGACATTCTAAGCCAGAAAAGAATGTAATGGGGATTTAGATGGTCATAACGTTACGTTAGGCTTAATTTTAATAATATGGGGGCCAATACGGTTTTTGACAAGATTTCTTTTTATTATGTCTGGATTCCATTGTAGTTGTAATCCAAAAATAGTTGTTTGTGCCCATTGCCATTATTTCCGAAGATTAATCTCTTTTACTGTGTGTGTGAGCATTACCTGGGGTTTTGTTATTGAAATTTCTTTTGATACAATGGTGCTGAAATTGTGACTTACGAACAATGGACCTATTCTCATCATTCGATAAGATTCTCACATAGAATTTAACTGAAATTGTTCTACTATCAGACATTCATCATAATTAAACAATATAATCTTCATTTGATGACTATATACATGCACATGTATTTCTATAACATCAATCATGAGCTGACATGGCTTCTATTTCTCTGCAATATTCTGTGTCGTTGAATTTTATAGACATACAAGGCATAGGTTAATTGTAGCCATGTTTAAAAATGGGGTTGGGAATGGAATGATATGAATTATGATAGTTTTACCGATTGTAAATTGACTGATTGGTCCCAATCAATTTTCTTAAGGACAGATTTGGAATCCATGGCATGGCATGAATGTGTATTGACTTGTAGTCTCCGTTATTGGCTTATTGGCTAAGGCTCCATTTCACTGACCAAGAATTCCTGTATTGTCAGAGACAGTTTATAATTGTCCAGCTTGGTTTCTTCATGATGCTTGATGAGTGAGATGCCAAATAATGGCAACTAGTGTTTTGGATAGGACATAAAACCAAAGTTCTGTCACTGCATGTTACTGATCCCCTGACAGTTGGAAATCGAAAAAAAAGTGTAAGGGGAATAGCTGCTGCCTGGGCAAAGTTTCCGTCATAGGACAGCACTGTATGGTATGTTTTTGTCTTCATGAGTTTGTCTAGTCGGAAAAGCTGCTGCCTGGGCAAAATTTCCCTCATAGGACACTCTATGGTATTATTGATTACTCTGGTTGGTGCAGAAAAAACGCTGCCTGGGCAAAATTTCCCTCATAGGACACTGTTTGATATGTGTTTTCTCTCTCTCTCTCTCTCTAGTCAAGTTGGTGCAAAAAAAAATATGGCGTTAAACCCGGTTTAATTTCTACCATATTGTGCATAATATAATTTTAAGACAAATTTGTACTGACCTGGTGATAATAATGGTGTTGTACATTGTGATGATGGTGATTTTAATACAGGAGTTGTTGGTCTTGAGTTGGGTCTTGACCGCGTAATCGGGGTCACAGGTCGAATCTTTTTATCTGCTAATCTTTCTGTTTCTGTCAAAAACGAAATATCTTCCAAACTGTTGGAACTTTCACTTCCCTCTATGTTCTGTTCTCCCAGGAATGTTCTGACCCGCCCCATGTCGATGTCTATCGTGGGTAGTAGATTGAAATCCCTCTCACTCATGTTGAGGTTTTATTATAAGCACATGTACTGTACTAGACAATAACCAGCATGACTTTTAACTTGTTTCTGTCTTCGTGGTAATCAAACAATGACAAAAGTTATTGCAAAAAATACCTCAAGGAGATATTTGATATAATGTTACATCATTATAAATCTAGCATTCAGTCAGTTAATCCTTGGAACTGTTGATCCTAATTCATAATTAATTATTAATCCCCTTTCAGTCTTTATTAATTTGATTCAGTAAAAACATTTAAAGTATTATTGACTAGCATTCAAGTCTTTGAAGTGTTCTATAGCTATTATCTATAAGTCTGTGAATTATTTATAGAAATTGTTTTCGTATATATTATCTGGCATTCTCTAATCTGTGTGTTTATCTCAAAGCTTTTGATTTACATGTATCTGTTGTTATGTGTGGTCGAATTCTTCGGTTTATATTCATAAAAACTTGCGATCTGTCAATTATGGTCAATCTAGTGATTCAATGAATGTAAATTTTTAATGGTTGAGAATATATGTACATGTATATCCAATATGTAGGCTTATATTTCTATATTTTCGTATACATGTAGCCCTAATGGATGTATAGATATAAACTTGTAGGCTTATTTATGTAAACTATTCTTTGTTGAGAAAAAATCCAACTTATAGGCTTATTGATGTAAACTATTCATTGTTGAGACTAAATCCAACTTGTAGGCTTATTGATGTAAACTATTCATTGTTGAGACTAAATCCAACTTTATGTGTCTGAATCTTCTTATAGCACTATATTGAACTAAAGTATAGATAGATATAAACTATTCATAGTTGTTGATTGAGATTAATTGCAACCTGTAGATTGATCTTCTGATTGTTTGTGACAATCCACACCAGGTATTTATTATCACCTCTGTTGTTGAGATTCAAGGAAATTTGTTGATGATTAATGGCTGTTTATTGATCCGTAGAGTCCTGTAAATAATCAACACATATTGTTTTATTTCTGTACATTTTATATCTTTCAAGGAGTTGTTCCACCTTTGTCTAATGTCTATAACAATAACCTTTGTCTATGTTCTAACATTACTTAAAGGGGATGTTCCACCTATATTTATATTCTAATAATACTTAATGGAGTCTAACAATACTTAAAGGAGGTGCTCCACCTATGTCTACATGTATATTCTAACAATATTTAATGGAGTTGCTCCACCTATCCAACAATATTTAAAGGAGTTGCTCCACCTATGTCTATATTCTAACAATATTTAAAGGAGTTGCTCCACCTATCCAACAATATTTAAAGGAGTTGCTCCACCTATGTCTATATTCTAACAATATTTAAAGGAGTTGTTCCACCTATGTCTATATTCTAACAATATTTAAAAGAGTTGCTCCACCTATGTCTATATTCTAACAATACTTAAAGGAGATGCTCTACCTCTGTCTATATTCTAACAATCCTCAAAGAGGATGCTCCAGCTACATGTGTATCTATATTCTAACACAAAATCTGACATTTAATAGAAAGATATTACATGTATTATTTCAATGACATGCACTAAAGCCAACTTTGACAGGTGGTATTCCACCTATATTTTAACTATGTAGATATATATATAGATACTATTATTATTAACCGTGTGTGTGTGGGGGGGGGGGGCTGGGACAGGTCATGGAGGGGTGGGGGAATTGCTGAATTAAGAAAAAAAACATCGGGTCCAGTGCAACGCAGAACATTTTGAAAAATAGATTATAGATTTGATTTGTGCATTCCGAGCTATATTCTGGGCGATTAACACAAGAATACCTCATTCATCCAATGGAACTTTTGGCCGCCACCTTCCCCCTACATTGTAGATCCAATACTGGTAATATTATAACCATCACAATAAATCAAAGATTGCATTCATCATGTAACAAGAAATCGAGTTTGTCAATAGGCAATGATAAAAAGACAACTAATAAAGGCATGGGATAACTAAGTCTTCTTATTTCTAGGTGAAAGTGACAGTGTTTCTTTAATGGCTGGATTTTATTCAGATAAAAAATGGGAGTGTATTTGTATATAATATATATACCTACATTTACTTGTTTTGTTTCCAAGCCATTTTATTTCCATATTTTATATTTTAATTACTGCTACATGTGTGACCATTACTACTGAATCTGTTTTAACTGGAGAATATATAAAAAAAAATCATAAATTACATATATACAATGGATCAATTAGATGAAAGAACATTGGATCTATTCTGTTTTGACCCTGTAATAACAAACCACCCAAAATAACAGCTTTGCCTAGTTTCTGAAGCCACATGAATATAGTTGGTGACCACACCCATTTAAACAGTTTAAGAACTGTGTGCTAGTTTTGAGACAGTCTGAGGCCTTGTAGTATCGGGTCATTTTTATAATATTCACTTTTCTCTAATCTGTTTGTAGGAACTAGGGTATTCAGTATTTTCTGTACCAAAAGGGTTATGATGGATATATACTATGGTACATGTAAATTAAAGATCTGAAATTATAACCCAATTCATATGATGGTCATTAAATATTATAATAGTGATCATAAAACAAATTCACAATTTGGCTGTAAACACTGTTATAACAATCTGATGATGGGCAAGACCTATAATAGACCCATACATGTATATAATGTATGGAAATTTTTTTATTTCGATGGCCTCCACTACATGAAGATCTGACCAGTTGTAGTGGAAAGTTGTGTCAGGGGTCATACAAGTGGCTTTTGACCCTATGATGTCAGACATTTGATTAACCAATCAGCTTTGATGTTTCACGGTATTTGGAAATACAACTTTTGCTCTGTCATTGCTGTGAATATCTACCCACAGTTACATGCACTGCACGCCAAGAACTCAATGTAATGGACTGTTTGATTGGCTAATCCCTTACATCAACCAGAACGCGGGTTATATAACAAATCTTCCAGATCCTGCATACCAAGAAATTAATGTACATGTAACAGACTATTTGATTGGCTAATCCCTCACATCAACCAGAACGTGAGTTATATAACAACTCTTCCAGATCCTAGTGTAGTGAAGACAGGTAAAACGAAATTTTGAACTATAAAAAACGAAACGAAATAGGATCTGTGTTCTAATCAGATTGCAGGGTTGGCTGTGTGAAAGGGTCATAGTAAAAGTTAGAATTGGGGTGGGGGTTGTGAAGGGCAACAGAATACATGTATCCTTGTTATGTCATGTACATTTACAAGCAGGGAATTGAAACCATGCCACTCAATGACAGACCTCATGATCTATAGCACATGTTAAACCATTCAGCCACCCAATCCCCCTTGATGTTACAGTATATTTTTGATTTACAATAAAATTATGTAAATAAAGTTTGGGCAATTCGATAAACTGATTGGTTGGTTTGTATTTTTGAATATTTTATTGATTTATATTTAATAACCGGTTGTAAATGAATTATTCATGTTTCCTAGCGACATTTTATGATTGAATATATTTTTTGTTGGCCAGCTGAATTCATTGCTTTATTATAAAAGGTGATTATAGGATAATATGTATATTAATTTTTTTTTTCTAACAACCTAGGGCTGATAAACTTTGTTTCCTTTGTATTTCATCAATCACAATTTTTTTCTCTCAACTAATTCCAAGCCTGGAATTAAATGAGTCACCTATCACAGACATAAATTCAGGCTTTGTCCAGTACAATTTAATAATCAATTGCTTTTCATTATGACCGGTACAGATTTTTTCCCCTGTTTTTATTGATACTTTAAAGGGTGTATGATACATGTAGCTCTATTCTTTTGAACCTTAAAATGGACGTAAATGGGTTTAACAGTACATTACTGAAATATGAATGTTTATAAAGTGATTTATATTCATTTTTTAAAAAAAGAGGTACATGTACATGTATTGTAATTTCTAATCAATTATGTTCAGTGAAATACACGAATAGTCCAAATTGAATGTCAAGTCTTTTACGTCTACCAAGTCCATCTTACATGTTTTTTTAATTATTATTTTGTCGTTTGTGAATCGGCCATTACTAATTACTCCTTCCATGTCTTTAGGATATGTTTGTGTTTGTTCATAACAAATGGCATCTGAAACAATAGGGTACACGACTCGTGTACTGATTTTAAAATGTTCATTGTGTCTTAAATATTGGCTATTAGGATACTACATCTTCACAGCAAGATAATAGCATCAATATGGATTGAAATGGACCAATATTGAATTCCATTTCGTGTTTTTAATTGCAAATATTATGGACGATATCGAATTGGAGATTTAGCTCCATTATTAAATACATGTTTGGTAAATAAAACCATGGCTATTTCATAAAATGAAAATGATGGAATTTCCCCATCCATTTGAAAATTTGTTTTAGCTTTAGTGTTGCTTGTGCAAACCCGTGTAAGAAGTTAAAACAGACAATGTTATAGACCTCAGTTTAAAAGGGTTCCAGACTAATTGGCATACATGTATTTCATGGTATTGATTGTGCACAAAGATCTGAACAAACATATTTTTGACATTTATTTCCTATATAAAGATATACTTTGGCTGTTGCAGTTATCGGTATCTGTGATAGACATAGACTTATCTTTTTAGTAAGAAAAGGTTTAAGGCTACTCTAAATGTTACACTTGTATTTCATCTATAGATTAAGCAGCAAACGAAAAACACATTTTTTATGAAACAATGAAATATACCATGGGTCAGAGTCATAAATAGATGATTACATGTATGAATTTGAGCTTTCCATCAGATGCAGCTGTGTATGACTGTTTCTGACACAATGTGGATTTTATTTTTGTAAACTGTTTTCTTTTGGTAGGGTGGGGGGGGGATGGGAGGAAAGGATTATAGGCCTAAGATAAAGAATAATGTACATTAACCCTACATTTTGTCAATCGGTCATAGTATTCACTAAGCATACTCATGAATAGTGATGTTGCCTGACAAATGAGTCTACTATTTTGTTAGTGAATATTCTACATTCGGTTGTCTAACAGTATCACCTCCACAGCCAATGAAATCTTTCGATATATGAAGGACAGTCAATTATATAATGTCCTGGTCACAAAATTTGATCTCACATTCTCTGTGTTGAAAGTTTTAAAAAATACACCTTTTCGACTCAAAACTTTAATTTGATAATTTTGCTTATATTCATCCTCAAATTAATGTTATTTTCCAGGTTACAAACGCCTTCAGGTTAAACCCCAATACTCACTCTTTTATTTAGATATTGTTTAAATAATAAATGAAATGACTTGCTGGGTATGTAAATTAGGCCTACTTGGTTTAAAAGTCATAATTTTGGTGTCTTATTCCATTTCACAAACAGATCTTCTCTGCAATTTGTAATCTAAAACATAATTCTACTTCCATTTCCCGAACCCTGAAAATATAATAATAGGCTTATATCGGTTGTAAGTGCAACAAGGCCAGTAGAGTTAAGTTTTTATGAAATATAGATGTAGTTTATTGATCTGTTTAAATTGAAATAATACAGGAACCAATTCTAAATTGAATATGAAACAATTATTAGATTATTCTGTATTTACAAAAAAAGTAATATAATAGGTTTATTCTGTTAGAATTTCCATTTATATATATATAGAGAGAGAGATGGTGTTTATTGTCCACTCAACACAAACTAGGTCAATTCAGGACTAACATATGATCTGGAGAAAACCCTAGATATTACAAGTAAATAACTGTGGAGAATTGCACTCCACAAACAGTAAGACAAAACAAAGACATTAAAAATAACAACAGTAGAGAATTGCACGCCACAAACAGTAAGACAAAACAAAGACATTAAAAAAATAACAACAGTAGAGAATTGCACTCCACAAACAGTGAGACAAACCAAAGGCATTAAAAACAACAACAGTAGAGAATTGCACACCACAAACAGTGAGACAAAACAAAGGCATTAAAAATAACAACAGTAGAGAATTGCACGCCACAAACAGTAAGACAAAACAGAGACATTGCAAGTAATAACTGTAGAGAATTACATATACTACACAAACAGTTAGACAAAGCAAAGACTTGTAAGCGATCAGAGAACTATCAAATCAACTAAAAAGCTTTAAATGCTTCATTTAAACTAAGAACATTAAATACATGCTGTGCCATCAATTTCTTCATCCAACCAATTTCCCCCTGACTCATATCCTGATCTATAAAGGAGATAAAACTCTGTCCTTTGAGATTGTCAGAGGAATTGAATTGACTGGTTTTGACTGATGCTTAACGGCATAAACTCAATTCTATATTTACTCCTTATCTGTTGTGGTCAATATTGCCGTTCTCGTTGATTCTAATAAGAGAACCCTTCAACTATATTAACATTTATCTGAGGTAATCTGGTGACTAGACATACTTCAAATACTTAACATTAATTTATTCATTGTTTTCACTTCACAAATACTTTTTATTTCTTTCGACACTCCATGATGAAACCATTTAGTAATGCTCTGTTGTTTTATATGATTTGACATTTGAAGGTGTCAACATTCAGAATGTTTTTATATGCCTACATTTTCATGTTACACCATAATGATGATGAGGTTCGAATTTCGTGAAAATCGGACCGAAATTGCTGGACAAATAGTGTAACAGTATATAATACCAAGGTTGTGAACCCACCAGAGGTCACAATTTTTGTCTGATTTTAATGAAACTTAAAATATGTGTTTATATCCCAAAGATCTCGCTCCTTTCAATATTCACACATATCAGACAGTATTTTCCTGAATTATGGCCCCTGATTGTACAAAAAATACAGATTTTAGCTTGTGGACCCTCAAGAGGTCACAATTTTTATTTGATTTTTAAAAAAAAACGTTTAAAAGTATCAGTGTTACAACCTAATGATGGTTGAGTTCGAATTTCGTGAAAATCAGATGCTACTAAATGGTAATACCAAGGTTGTGGATCCTCATAGAGATCAGAATTTTTATCTGATTTTGATGAAACTTAAAAAATATGTTTATATCCCAACGATTTTGATTCATTTTGATATTCGTGCATATTGGATTATTTCCGTGATTATGTCCCCTGATTTTACTTTTTTTTAAAGCTTGTTTTCTGTCCATCTCTTGCAAAATGTTGGCTTATCTTGCATGGCAACCACTTGTTTTATATGTAATGCGTTTCAAAATCGAAATATTTGACAGTTAATGATATATGAAGTCTACTAGGTGTCATTACCGGTACTCGAATCTGTAGACTTTTGGAAATATACACATATGTTAACGATATTGCTAGTTGTATCTCTAAGAATAAATAACAACTGTTAGACTTGTAATCAGTTCAAATGTACAGATGAAGCAAATGTTTTTGTTTTTGGTAGAATCAGAAAGCCAGCATGTATTTGAAGTCTATAAAAATAATGTTCAGAAATAAAATAATATAAATATTATTTCCCTGTTGGTAACAAACCAGGTAAAATGGACACTGGTCACTTTACTAGAATTTTAATCCATGTTCGAATCCTGGCGTGGACTGAGAAGATCAATCAGAATTTTTTTGTATTTTCCCCTATTAGATTTGTGCTTGTTATTAACACAGTGATTAAGGACAGGGTTAATATAACTTTACTGTAATTCCTGGATATCAGTGTGGAATACATGGAGTGGTGTTATATTATAGTTATTAACCTTAAACCCTGGATACCAGTGGGGGGGGGGGGGATACAGGATGTTTCACTGTAGTTATTCACTGAATAGAGAGATGTTATATAATAGTTATTAATAGTAATTCCTGGATATTAGCATGGAATCCAGGGTGTGTAGTTATTCACCGTATAATCACAGACTGTCTTATTTCTTGTAATAAATGTATACCGTTGTGACGATTACAAATTATTTTCATCAACATCCGAGACCTGTCAATCATTCAATTAATGTTGATTATTTTGTATTGTCTAAAACAAGTTCCCGTTATAGAGTTATTGTATTTTCAACCCGTAGAGTGCCTGGTCATGGCTGCTAGTTATATTTATTCTAGAATTGCTGGTATCATTAGTCAGCTACTGTATTGAAAAATAGATTTAGGGATACATGTATATCATGGATTAATGTTATTATAATATGACAACATTTCCTACAGCTCAGATATATTCATACCATCATCAATCATATTAATTGTCCTTCATGTTCTTAGATTTTACTATTAAGGTAGACCTTCGAATATCTCAGTGATTTATATTGATCAGGATATAATCACAGACTGTCTTATTTCTTGTAATAAATGTGTACCATTGTGAAGATTACAGACAAATTATTCTCATCAACATCCGAGACCTGTTGATTATTCAATTAATGTTGTGTATTTTGTATTGTTTAAAACATGGCATCTCAGCCTTCGGTTAATTTGGTATACCAAGGAGCTTGATTTACTGTTCTAGATTTGTACATATGTTGTTCAATAATTAGAAAATCAATTCTGAAGTTGAGAAGAAAGTAAAGGCAATAACTTTTTTATGTTATGTATTTGTGACTGTTGTTTGTTTGTTTGGGGTTAGCAGCTACAAGGGCTACCCCTAGGCTGAATCAGTTTATATACATTCATATTACATTATTATATGGGTTGCGACCCATTTGTGTCCATTTCTAGTTGCCAAAGAATAGAGATTTAGCTCCTTTAAACTAGAAATAATCAATGTTAAAAAAAACCCAGTATTTTGAGATTTCCCTTTTGTCGGTTGGATAGTTATTATGGTAGAATTTAAGTGAACTGAACAAAACATAGTTGGGATAACAATGCACTTTATAAAAGTTGCCAGGGTAAATTGGAAGTAACAAGTTGGAAACTCCTGCTGTAAAAGAGAGAGTGTATATAGTCATTTGGGTGGCATGGAAAATCAAGGGTTGTGTACATATTGACCTGCATATACATGTAAAAGAGGCCTTGACAGTTGGAATTCAAAATAAGAGAAGGCTGTAGCTAGTGCTGCAGCCTGGGCAAAATTTCCATCATACATGTAGCACTCTGTATGGTGTATGTCTACATAAACCCGAAAGGAGCAGAAAGTTTATCTTCATTTCATTTCCAACGCCAGTATGGGTAGGAATTATTCATGAAGATCACGTACCAGGTTATCATTTATTTGAAAGAATCAAACAAATTTTGACAAATGATCATTGGAAATAGATCTAAATAAGTCCTTTAGTGGTTATCATTAAAATGTATGAATATTACATGTATGAATATACTATCCTGGGAAACAATTTATGGTTTCAGACAAAGATAAGATAGTCTAATCTAAAGAATGAAATGTTTTACGTCAAAATATAACCGATGATTGTCTCAAGTCTTTACATTAAGACTGATAGATGTTTAGATGTTGCAATGTTCCTGAAGCAGCGACCTAAAGTTTTACAATATCTAGCTGTTGCTAGGTTGGTTTGACAACCCCAAACTTATAGGAACGTTTTACCCCCTTTACCACAGATGCATGAACAATAGTGTTGTCCAATCAGAGGTCGTGACACAAACACACTCAAATCAAAACTTTGACATTAAACGAACCTTGAACTGCAACTCGAACGTCACAATATCTAGCTGTTGCTAGGTTGGTTTGACAACCCCAAACTTATAGGAACGTTTTACCCCCTTTACCACAGATGCATGAACAATAGTGTTGTCCAATCAGAGGTCGTGACACAAACACACTCAAATCAAAACTTTGACATTAAACGAACCTTGAACTGCAACTCGATCGTCACAAGTATATATTTTAGCTGGAAAGCACGGGACTTGGTATTCTCGTAGATGTTTTCTATCGAGGAATCTGAGAGATCCCCAGGGAAAGTAGCCAATTGAAATTAATGACAAAATATGTAGGGTATGACGTGAAGGGCTTGATAAGATGCACAGAGTTAAAGAAAGCTAAATGAAGAAGGATACCAAAAATGAACCTTTCCCAGATGTAACTTGCTATAATATTTAGAAATAGATAATGAAAAATGAATATAATGAAAATTTCATTCAAATTATGTTATTCTGAGCATATTTATTAGTGTTTGAAGTTTTGATTGTTAATTTTTATAGCAACAGTACATGACAATCTGGACTAAGTCTCAATTCACCATTGTGTTTCAATCCATTTAAATCTCAGCTATCTGATGATCGTCTAGAGAGTTGGATATAGGCTTGTCGTGTCAATAAATATCTTTCATAAATGATAGTTTATAAAGCATTTGAAGCCAAAATAAGCAGATTTAGCTCTTAAATAATGCATCTTTAAAGTGGACCTAATAAAATACAGCTTCTCCAGTGTTAAAATTACTCTCTTGTTATGAAGTTGAGGGTAAGAGTAGACAGTGTTCTAGAGAAGCAGGGAGTCATTATGTCTTTGATTACATCCCTGTCAGCTGGATGAGT